AAAAACAGGCCTTTTTAGGCCTTAAGGACCAGTTAAACATTATTTTATTCTTCCATAATATTCTGTTCTTCACTTCATACATTTATCATGAATTCTTCCCGGGAAACCGCCATTAAATGCAGAGTTCCATATTTTGGTGCGTGATCCAAATATTCCTGTTGGCAGTTCATGAGGGCGATGACTTAATGTGACATTTATTATTAACAGAAAATAATTTTTTCTGAGGTACAGTGGCGTTATAAAAAAAGTATTTTCTTAATTTTTTTGATCAACAAGCAATTATTTTCTAACTTCTGCGCACTTCCTTTAATCTATTTTAAAATTACAATTTTTGTTGTAGAACCTTATCGATATCATTTTCCAAACTCGAGAAATTAAATAAGGCAGTTTCAGTAAGCTTTATTTGAGTTTTTTTTTTTCTTACCTCCCAAGGCTCATTGGACGAAACGGATGATCACCTGTTTATTTTTCGTCATTGTAAAATCGCCAATAATTTTTTTATCGAAATCGGTGGACACACTATGCACCCCCAATGAAAGTACTTTTTTTCATTTCTAATTTAAATCTTATAAAATTCTCCATTACTCTCCGACTAGCTGACTCACATTTAAGAAATCGACAATATAAATTCAGAAGCTATAAAAACAAACGATTGATTAATTATTATTTTATTTGATCAAAATAACGAATAGTAAATTATTTAAACAGTAAATTAGCAACTTGCTTTTTGAACAAATAATTCATGAATAAAATTTATTGAATAAACGATTCGAATAAAACTTTACACAATAAAGCTCAACACTGCTTTATTCTAGTGGCTTCTAGATATATTCAAATATGTCTACCAATAGAATATCGAATCATTCTATACTTCTGATTTTTATATAGACACACAACAGTCGATATTTCAATTATATCAAAAGATACGCGGTTCTTGATCGAATACATTTTAAATTACAAAATCTTTGATTCTAATTACTCTTGATTATCGGTTAATTTTATCATTCATGTTTTTTTATTATTCAAATGAATAAGGTATTTAGTTTTTCCAAAATTTTTGAATTTTACATAACTGTTGTCGCGTTTTCAGTGCTTTTCTCATATCAAATTAAATTGGTATTTTATTTTTTTACATTTATAAAAAAAAAAGATTTATTTTTTAGACAAATTTTAAGTTTTAGTTATTAGTTTTTCTTTTTTTTAATTCTAGTATTTTTAATAAATCATTGATTTTGATTACTTAATTCATATAATCACTCTTATTTTTTTTTACTTATGAATATTTGTGATTTATCACCAAAGAATGGTCGGTCATTTTATAGTTCATTCCTAACTAACTCTGCGGGTTACCGATACCGGTGGGAGGAACTAGTCCAGCTAGGAGGGCTAATATTCCTTTTTGCCAACCCGTGACAACTACCTTGAGGTTGCCTCCTCGTACTTACCGGATTGGAAATGTCATGATTCGTTTCCCGGGGCCACCTAAAAATGATAATTATCCGATCTAAGTGGCATTCGAACCCACTATGTTCAGACACGGGCACTCTGAGACCCACGTCCCAACGTGCTCTCGGCCTTCCTGTCCTCTAACACTAACTCCGCTCTGGTCCATGAATGGCCTAGGTCTCCTCAACAATTCCCATCCACTCTGAGCGATTCTCTGCAGCTCTCCTCCAATCTGTCACCTGCAGAATTTCATTCCACCTATAAAAAATATTCCTTATCAATGAACAATTGTGGGAGCAAGATAGCATTGAGAAAGAACCGTACACATGTTGAAGTATCCTTGTTCGAACTAACACCCATGATTTCCGCTTAGCATAAAATTGGTGGTATTTGTCTTTTTGAGTCCAATATCAGCCAGGAGACAAATAAGACTGTAAGTTCAAAAATAAGGTACTCCACTGGCTTTTAAAGTATTAATCAATTTATTGTATGATTTGTGATGAATAAAATTGTTAGGATTTATAGTCAAGAATTTTTATTAAGTTAGGCGACGTTTTGACCCACATCATGTTTGTGTCGAAATGTCGGCTAACCTAATAAAAATTCTTGACTGTAAATCCTAACAATTTTTTCTATCCTAATAATTGATCAGTCGACTAATTACCCATCTCTAAAATGTATGATTTATATTTTAGTCCTGCAATTTATCGCCCTAAAACCCCAACCCTACCTGCCTTTATATTTTAATTAAAAATGATTTACCATAATTAGTTCTATTATTTATTCAATAATGTCTTTTAATACCAATTACAACATTTTAAAAAAAATTTATTAATACTCAATTAAGAGCATTAAATGAGAATTATAATTAGACTGAAATACAAGTGGTCGTCATAACATTATGTTGAACAATTAAGAGTAGATATTACTTATCGGAAATCATATAATTACAATAAACAAAGACGTAAAATATGGGATTATTTAATGACTAAATTATTACTAATTGTCAATAATTATATCCCTCTCCACTTTTGGACAGAGAGTAAGCGTTTTACCCTGTTACGCATATTATTTAGAAAATCGTCAAATTTTTTTTCTTTTGAGGTAAAGTGCTTTAATTTTGTTTATATAGCATTTCCAAGTCAATTATAACCTTTTCCAAGTCAAATTCAACCTTTTCCAAATCAAATTAAACTTTTTCCAAGTCAAATTCAACCTTTTTCATTTGAAATTAAACCTATTTCATTTCAAACTCAACCGTTTTTTATTTATTTAATTATTTTTCATTTTTAGATGTATGGGTTAGTTATCGTATGAGTAGTTTTTAAAAATGGCCTCCATTTTAAGATTACGCAGCGGCGTTTCGATTTATTTAAGTTTTTCGAATTTATTCGATATAAGGCTCTTTTGTTTCCGGAGCCGTAGATTTTGAAAATGACCTCCATTTTAAGATTAGGCCGGTGCGTTGTGAATTATTTAAGTTTTTGGGATTTATTCAATATAAGGGTGTATTCTTATGTTTCCGGAGTCGTAGATTTTGAAAATGACTATCATTTTAAGATTAGGTCGCTGCGTTTCGGTTTGTTTAAGTTTTTTTTATTTATCCTTAGAAATTAAAAAAATGAGATGGATTAATATATTTTTCAGCCGAAATAAATAAAATATATATTTTCTCATTTTTAAATTTAATTTTAGTTTTCATTTTTAATATTGCGATATCCCCTTACAAAATTATAAGGTACGATTTTCGAACAATTACCTACATTCTGAAACGGTAGGTTAAATTTATTACCAGTTGCTTTTCCGGGTTTTTATTTTGTGTTTTGTGGTTAATTTAACTTTAGCTTCATAACATTTATTAATTCATACTCGAAAACATATTTGTATTGAAAAGATCCAAAATTAAGCTTAATTAATCAAGATGCAGCAGTGTGATCTTGAAATGGAGATTAAATATTAGAGATTAGATATATTTCAAATACTACGTCTCTGATGACATATAAGTAGACCCTTACATGAAATAAATTCGAAAAATTATGAAATCGAAACGCAGTGGCGTAATTTTAAAATGGAAGTCATTTTCAAAATCTATGGCTCCGGAAACATAAGAATACACTCTTATATTGAATGAACCCAAAAACTTAAATGAGTCGAAACACAGTAACTTAATCTTAAAATGGAAATCATTTTCAAAATCTACGGCTCCGGAAACATAGGAATACACCCTTATATCGAATATATCCAAAAGAATTAAATAAGTCGAAACGCAGTGACGTTATCTTAAAATGGAGGTCACTTTTAAAATATGCGATTCTGGAAAAATAAGAATAAACCTTTATATTGAATAAATCCGAAAAACTTAAATAAGACGAAACGCAGCGGATTAATCTTAAAATGGAGATTATTTTCAAAACTAGGCACATGATAACATAATACTAGACCCTTATATTGAATAAATCCAAATAGGTACAATCAATCGATATCCGAAAGTTTAATATAAAATCGATACTATTTTGAAAAACTCCACTCAAGGAAGCATAACTATAGACCCTCGTGTTGGAAAATGGCCCTTATTTCGAAAAATATACAAAAAAATTGAAAGTTGGATTTGAAATGGAAAGGTTGAATTTGACTTGGAAAAGGTTGAATTTGAAATGGAAAAGGTTTAATTTGACTTAGAAAAGGTTGAATTTGATTTGGAAAAGGTTGAATTCGATGTGGAAAAGGTTGAAATTGACTTGAAAATGCTATATATATATTCTCTTTGTCATTGTCAGAGGTATGATTTTTTTTTTTTTTTTGGTTTTGATGGTTTAATATTTACATATAGTTATCCTTTATTTCAGAAATAACATTTAAAATGTGAATTATTCTGTTTCTCATTTTTTGAAACTTGTAATTAATTTATAAGTTTGTAATATTTAATTTCCTTTACGAATTTTTTTATATTATTAAGACACTCTTTAATTATTAATTATTTGTTAATTATTACAGATAGCCGTTGGTAAAGTTTTCCAAAACAAATGGTAGCTTTGCTTAATTTTATTTAATATATCCCATTTAGATATTTTAGAAGCTGTTTTTTAGTTTCACATTTGTCTCATAATTTTCTGAATTTGATTTTATTTATTCTTTTTAACATTCATTTAGTCATACCTTATCTTTCACATTTTTAATTAAACCTGCTATTTCTAGTCATGATGTTTCCTGCTACTTCAGAATATGCTTATAATTTGCCCTACTCAAGTAATAAGCTTCACTAATTTCGTTATTTTCATTTATTTATTTAGTCGTCTTTATCAGTTATGAAAGAAACACTTATATTATTCATTTTCCTTTATTGATAAAATTTCATTCAAGCAAATAAATAAAAATAATTTAAAATCATAACTCAATCGAATATTTTTTAAATATTTAAATTCTTTAATGAATTCAAAAAGTTTCAATATTTAAATTTGTTTCTGCTTTTCTTTTCTTATCCTTCCTATCTTAAAAATTTAAAGTAATTAAAAATCATAGTTGGTAGGGAATTGGTAAAACTGGGATTTGTTGCAGGAATGTAACAATGATTACGACCAATGGATTGAGAATGGCTACGACTTTTATATTGACAGTATTCATCATATTAGTAAGTATTAAAATTGATGATTTTTCGTTTTAATAGTACTTAATTCTTTCATACGTCTAGTACTAAATAAAACACTATTACGTCCTCCCTCAATAATTTTTCCTGGATGACGATTAGGAAATGAATATGAATAATATTTAGTTGTAAATATAGTAAAAAAAAGCAGTGAAATTCAGTGGTTACCTATCCAAATCAACATTATAAAAATATGCTTATTATAACTACAAAGCATGTAGTTTATAGAAAGATCATTTGAACATTTTAATGAATTCCTTCGCAAGAGAATTATGAAGTATACTACAACAAAACCAAAGTTTGATAATAGTTTTTGTTAATGAATTTAAATTTTATTTTATTATTTTTTATAGCCATGGAAGTGGGATAGTTCAGTTAGTGAAGCACCAAACTTGTGGATCTGAGTTCAAATGACAAAAAATGTATTTAAAATGTATTTAATTTTTTATGTGATATAAGTCGTGGATCGACTCTGGGGTCAGGAATGTCACTTGAAGCACTCCCAATCTGTATAAAATGGGTACCTGGCCCTTTTCTTTTTGTGTGAGAGAGGGAGATAAACCTGGCGGTTAAGCATAAATACTGACCACATCTCCTTGTTTTTGAAACAGCATAATAATCAACTACTGAAACTAAGCCCCTTCAAGGGCTGTAGTGGTGAAGTTTTGCTTTATTTTGTTATTACTATTTTTTTTAAATAATAAATATGCTTGTTTAAATATGAGAAGAATTTTAATGAAATATTTAATACTTATAACAGTAATGAACAAATACCTTATATTTGAGTGCTGCCATTGATAACCTTTAGGGTGTACAGTAAATTTGCTCTGTCACAAATTTATAGTTAATTTTCTTTAACTATTTTAATCCCATCAGTTACACATAAATCATAACTGAATTAGAAAATTTTCACTCTAAAATAGCTGTTATTTTTTTTAATTGTTATAAATAATAATGATAATTGTAAACCATTACTTTCACATTCTCCAATTTCTATATACCTTCTTATGAAGAGTTAGTTATAATTGAAATTTAATAAAATATGATTGAGTAAACAATAAATTTATTTTATAACCAATCATGTCTGATATTCGGAATATTAAATAAATATCTAAACTAAGTTTCTGAGATTACTTGTTTATTTTGTTAAAATGATGATTGTCTATAAATTCACAAGGAATTAAGGTACAGTGGTCTCTAAGATAAATTTTATCACTGATCTTAAATGAAAAATGAAGTAAATTAGCTAATTTAGGAAGATTGAAAAAGTCTCAAATATCTCATGTAATTTTTAATTACTGAGCAATTTTGACATCATTAGGACTATAATACTACTGTGATATCATATTACTGAATGTATGCTTCATGATTTTTTTTTTTTTAAGGACTAGAATTAAAAGTATAAAAAACTATTAATCACAATTGCAAATAAGAGAATATAACTCATCACTGTAACTTTTGATCAATTACAGTTTTTTAGGAAATTTGAGAGGATAATCATTAGATTTTCATCCATATTACAACTGACAATATTTTAGCAAATCTGAGTGCCTATGCTAAGTTAATGTTTGTAACAAATTTAATTTCCTGCTTAAGTAAATGTGATAAAATGTTTGAATCTAAATTTTAAAAATGTTCCTACCAAATTAAACAGCCAATAGAATTGCTGTCTGATAAATCTAAAACTACTCAAAGTAAAATCAGTTTCAAAAATACTATAATGTTAACTGGTGAATAGCTTATTTTAGATATGAAATATTAAATTTATTATAATCAATTAAATGGTTAACTATAAAACAAGAAAGATGCCTAATTATTTATATCACATTTATAATGAAAATGAGCCTTAATACTTACAATAAATGAACCCAGTTATATCATTAGACAAAGATTGCATTATTACTTCTAAATACTTATATGTGTTGGGTACTGTTCAAAAAATTCTATGTAGATAACATGGTAAGGATTAAATAGTTCACATGCATTGGAGATTGGAAAATTCTTCATCTATTCGATCATTATCGTTTACCATAATTAAATTTGATGGTTTCGAAAACTTGAACAGCAAATGTTGAAATACATAAAATATATTTGTACCTTGATATATTAATTTTATCAGTAGTTGGTTTGTTCCTCCAAAACAAATTGTCATATTAAATACCAACGATATCAAGTCTATTTGATGAATAAATTAAAATTTTTAAGCTCATTTTTAACATTATTCCATTATCAACAATTTTAAGATGCCCATTTTTTGAGGGTGTATATGCTTTTTTTTCTTTTACTGATAATGTCATAAATCTTTTTTTCTATTAAATCTTAAATCTTTTTTTTCATTATTTTATTACTTTATAATAAATATAAATTACTTAAATATTTTAGTTGTTGTGTTCATGAAAATATACTTTACATATTTTTAATCGTATGTATACATTCACCATTTTTTAAATTTATAATTAAAGGAGAAAATTCAACTTTCTTATATAATTAGTTTCAATTATATAACTTTCATTATAACTGAGACTAGCTATTATATTTTCACTGTAGTAAAAAAATAGATAAATAAATAACTGGTAAATTGTTTTAATTTTTATTACTACACTATTTTGGTTCTGTGACTAATATAAATGTTAATTTTTTTTTGTATATATATTCTAACTGATGTATCTGGAATTGATTTATTCCTATCAATCAACAAACTTTAATCCTAAGTAACTCAATATTTAAAAAATTAAATATTTGATTAAAAAAAATCATTTTATGATTACGATTAAAGTCATTATATATATGTGTGTGTGTGTGTGTGTGTGTGTGTGTGAGAGAGAGAGAGAGAGAGAGAGAGAGAGAGAGAGAGAGAGAGAGAGAGAGAGAGAGAGAGAGAGAGAGAGAGAGAGATGAGAGAGAGAGAGAGAGAGCGAGAGAGAGAGAGAGAGAGAGAGAGAGAGAGAGAGAGAGAGAGAGAGAGAGAGTTGAAAAGAAGCAAAACCATTTAAAAATGACTTGCTTACTAATTTTAGGAAGTTGGATGCAACAATGTGCTAGGATACGTCCAAACTAATTGTCATGGAAAGAATGTGAGCTACCATAGGACCAGGGGCCTCTACACTCAACCACACTTAAAATATGGTTATAACTATATTGCTACTATACCAAGATCTGCCCGTAACATAACAATTAGTCAACATAGATTATCATCAAATCATATAGGTAAGTATTTTAAAATATAAGCTAATACAAAATTGGTTTCCTTTATGTCAACATATATTTGTAAATGAAGGTTATCTCAGTTTTCTATGGAAAAACTGAATATAATTGTAAATAAATTATACAAATACAAGAGACCTGAAAAAAGTAAGGTCTTCATTCTTACAAGGAACTCAATATGTCACTATTAAAAGAATATTTTTATGTTATAAATTCTTCACTTATTTGGTTTAGTTAAAAGAACTGTTTGTAATTGTTTAGCACTTATGAAAAATGATGGTTCTTATGTCATCAATGGAAACTGGGTTGTGGATCAGCCAGGAAATATCTTAGATTGTGGAACTTTCTTCACTTACCGCCAAAACCAAGATGATGCTGGTTCAATGAAGGAATATGTTCACTCACCAGGCCCTATTAATCAACCAATTCAATTGCTGGTATAATTAATTTCTTATTTTAATAAACCCTAAAACATGGAAACTTTACATCATGATGGCTAATATTAATCGAAAATTAGAATCACTTTTTCATTTCCAACTTCCATACAAAAAACTTTCTATTTCATAGAGAACTAATCCATTACTTTTTGCTTAGGCCATAAAGTTTTTTTTCTAATTGTGGAGTAAAATTACACCCTGGGTATAAAAATCTCCTGTTTTATGGTAATTAAAAAATAATTGTAAAATTTAATAACAATTAGCAATCAATATTTTGAAAAATGTGGGGATCACTAAATAACTTTAAAATCTGGAACGGAATGTGGATACACAGTTCATTGAAGGAAAATAAGATTTAAAAACATGTGAAACTTCTTCAGCACGTCTCTAAATAACATTTTATCTCTAAAATGTTTAAAGAAATTTAAAACAATAACAATAATTTAAATTGAAAAACTTTTATAAATTAAGCTATTTACTACTATTCTATAAATTTGATTAAAGAAAAGAAATGTCCTATTATTAATAATTATTTTAAAAATTTTGTTTCATTTTATATGATGATTGTAAAATGAAGTACTTGACTTCAAGATAAAAAAAATAGATAACAAATAAAATTTAAAAAACACTTATTGACCAAAAGAACAGACATAAATATCTCATGGCCTAAAAAAAACACCTCATTTCATTCAACAGGAGAACATATTTCTTCTGAATAATTGTACTGCATTTGCTTTTTTAATTTCTTAAACAAATTTAAAAGAATGTGAAGAGACTGTGTCTATTTAGAGAATATAATTAATCAAATTCATTAATGTGTACTTCTTTATTTAGATATAGAGAAATAATATTTCATTTTTAGCTCCTGGCATATGAAGTGAATGGTGGTATCACATATGAGTATGATACTTCTATAGCAAATATTTCATCTCCTCACAGTGATGGTAAGAATTTTATTTTCATTCTGTCTTTTTAATTTATAGGTACAGACAATTCTATGTTGTGCATTATAGCCACATTAACATTATGTTAAATAGTGTTTATGGCATTAGACAAATTTATCTTTTTCTAATTTTTTTTTTAAGGTTAGTAGGTTATGTATTATTACAAAAGATATTTTCCTTATGTTAAATTTATGTATTTTTAATTTATTCACCCAAACATTATTTGTTGATTTTTACGTATCTATTGAAACAAATTAATTTTACAACACATTTAATATTCTATCTACAGCCTGATATCCTTTATGTTATTTGTATAATCTTTCAAATCAAATTCAGAAATCATTCTTCCACAATTTTGGTATCAAAAATATGGGAAATAAATATGGTGTTAGAAACCTTTTGCTTTCTAATTATAATCTGCAGTTGTTTTATTTCATTTTCCAAATATAACTGAAGATTTTCTTAAACTAATAAAAAACTTAATATCTATTTTTATATTAGTAATGATGTTATAACTAATTGCTGCTGTGGTACATTTGTATATGCCCATTCATTTGAAGCTTCAATATATGATGCAACTTAACCACCCCATCAAAATTTAAAAGAATAGGCTTTTAATTGGAGCAATCATGGTTTCCTACATGTTTAAAACCATCTTCACTTAATATAATTTTTCAGCAATGGATTAACTATTAAGGGCATTTCAAATTTTCAGTTATCATCATAAATTGTTTGGAAAAAAAATATTATTTTAGATAATGCTTGGTTTGAATTATCCTTAATTTCTAACTTTCTTGATTAATACCCAAAACATAGGTGCAAACTTTCCATTTTGATTGGGGGGGATGGACAAAAAAAAAATGGCGGTAGTTCATATTATGTGTAAAAATTCAACATGATTATTGTGAAATGGTCAAACATAATATCGAATATTTAAAAATAAATTTATATATATGTTTGGACAATTTTAGGATTTTTTTTTTATGTGCATACTTAAAAATATCTAAACAAACCATTTGGATATATTAAAATTTTTATATATTAAACATGGGAGAAAGGGGGGCAGTCTCCATAACATAGGTATATTTCTTGAACTTATGCAGATAAAAATGAATAATGTTAACAACTGAAAAATACTTTTAATTTCTTAGTTTAGTTTCTTACAACCTCCAAATAAAAATAAAACATTTTCATAGTCTGACTAGTTATGTCAAAATATCTATAAAACATTCTCTATAAAATATATTTATACTTCTTAAATATATTTATACTTCTATATATGTTATATAGAGTGTATAACTTTATCACAGAAAATTTATTTATGAAAATGCAAGCAATTCTTAGTAATAATTGTAGTAGTCTAAGTAGTCCAAATGAGAGGTGAATTAGTATCATTAAATATAAATAATAGGAATATTCAGGTGATTATAAAATAGTTACGTATTTACTCATAGGCCTTAGCCTAACCAGCTAGCCTTGTCGTACTTTAAATTATGGAAGGGAGTGAAATGATATTCTTGCAACCTCAACATTTTTATTGAGGGTGGCGATCGCCTTCCCCTCCCCCCACTCCCCTAAGTCCCCGCCTATGATCCAAAGCAACCCCACAGTGGCTTTTCTAAGCTTGAATTTTTCTAATGAAACTACTGACAGTAGTTTATGGTAAATAATTAACTAACATTGATTAACGACCTTATTTAATGTTGTTGTTTTTTTTAAAGTTACTCTCACCTTAGTGATCATTAGTCAATATCATCATTCTACATTTTAATGTTTTTATCAGTTCCTTTACTTGAATTCAACTCTGTATCCTTTATTAACTTATTTTAGTTTTTTACTTAACCTACAAGTTAAAGTATCTTTTCATCAAATCTTTTTGCCTATAGAAATTTTGTTATTAATACATTAGTTTCATAAGTGACTTTATCTATAAAGATCTGAAATTAAATAAATGTAATGATATTTATATATTCATTTGATACTGCATGCAAAGTAATAAAGAGAGAAAAAAATCTTTAGTTTTCATTAGGTAAATCATAAATCGTTTTTTTTTATCTTATTTAAATTTGAATTTCATTAACATATGTATTTGCACAAACACATGTGTGTGTGTTTCCTTAAATACTATTTTTAAGCTTTAATATTGATACTAACTTAAACTATCTTTTCAGATCCAAATAATGATGCTGCTTTAATGTCTAAAAATTCTTTTATACAACACAGGTATCTTATAAAATATATTTTATTTTTAGAATCTTAATTTATTAATTTAAGCGTAGTTTTTCAGAAAATGCTTTTAGTATAGTCTCCAATAACTTATTTTAATCCTTTCAGTGCCAATAGCACAATAGTTTCAATCAGATATAGTCTACATTGTTGCTAAGATTGTGACATTTATGATCAGTAGATAGGAAATAAAATCTTCCCTTATTATCACCTAAATGATTTAAATCTTTAAATTAAAGAAGTGATTTGCTAAATAAGAAAACATTAACCCTCTTTAGACTTGCTTGGATCCCATGTCACACTTTTTTGTATGTCATACTCATAAAAACAGAGATAAATTTAGGAATATTTTTCTCACAAACCTTCAAAAGGGAACCTCTTGATGCTACTAATAAGGTGACGTCATGGATGTTGGCTCACCGATTTCAATGAAACTTTTTTTTGGTGATACTAGATTGAAAAACATTAGACCCAGCCAGGGCTCTTGCCAATCTGGCCTAGAAGTTGAGACAAAAAAAATTTATTATTTTTATATTAATGTTTTCTGACTTTGCTCTGCATGGATTGCTAAGATATGCATAAATTGATTTTTTTTTTTTTTTTGTAAAATAAGGAAAGCATATTGTTAATTTTATTAAACAAATTCTAATGTATAATGAATTACAAGAACCCAAAGTAGTTCTCGTAAATTTTTGTCATAAAAAAAATTCAGATTTGTTTTTAGTGTCCTTTCAAACCTGTAAATATGAGTTTGTTTTGAAACAAAAAAAATGTAAATTTTTGGACTTAATTTTATGGTAGGATTTCTTTTCATGTTCTTCATTACTCTTCAAAACCATATCAATAACTTTTAGATTTTAAACAGTTATAAGAAACAAATAAGAAAAATTTCCCCACATTTTTATTTTCCCAACATCTCCAAGACTAATTTATTTGCAGACCTCTGGTTTGAGGCATTTTTTGTATATTACAGGACTAGAAATTCATGCAAGTTTTCCTGAGAATAAGCTAAGCTAAAATTTTGAACAAAAAATATTTATTTTTCGATTGGTATGAAAATTCGTTTTTCAAAGGTTTTTCGAGCTATGAAATATAAATCTCAATTAGGTTTCTCCTTAAAAAAATATTTGTACCCACTTTACTCCTTATTATTGTTACATAAGTACTAATTGTTTAAATATTGTACCCATACTATATGGATATGCCAAATATATATTTTTTCTAACCCAATACCTTCTAGCCCCCCACTTTGATGAATTCCAAGATTATTTCCTTCATAATTTTTACCATATTATTGCCGTTTCGGAAACCTGGCTCAAACCAAATATTTCCTCCTCCTCTGTATTCATCCCTACACTCTCATTCGTCATGACCGGGTGGACCGAACAGGTGGGGGTGTCGGTCTTTAAGTTCATGAAGGTCTGAGGGCCAAAATCCTCCACAAGTCTCCCTCTTCCGACATTCCCCATTTAGAGTACTTATTTATAGAAATTTCCTCAGATTTATTTTCCCTTCTCTACCTCATTACATATCACCCTCCCCATGTCCGATTTAATCATTCCTTCGAATCCTCCTTTTTTGCCTAAGTTCCTTCATATAACTATGTAATAGTAGCAGGCGACTTTAATACAAATTTATCCTCCGACACTCCCGACAAATCATACCTTGTAGATCTTATACATCTTGACCTATATATTGTTCCTTTTCAACCTAATTCCACCTTCCTAATTCCATCCATCATTCACAATATCACTTATATGCTGATGCCCTCCAAATCTACCTTTCCTTACATCTTACCAAGATGCTTGAGGTGATCCAAAGAATTTAATAATACATTGATACCATCAATACTTGGGCAGTGAGCAATGAATTAAAATTGAATGTTGAGAAGACCAAAGCCATTCTCATTGGTTCCAAGCATCTGATTAATTCTATTCCTTATTATCTCCTACTTTACCTCAATGGCTTACCTATCTGTTTGCACACTTCTGCAAGATATCTTAGGATAATGTTTGATCAATATTGATCCTAGAATAATCATATTTCCCAAATAATCCGAAAATCCATTGCTACCTTCAAACAGTTCCTAAGATTCCATGCCTGTTAAAATCCATCAGATCTTAGTTTCCTCACTCATTTTCGTCATTTCGATTATTGCTGCCTTGTATATGGTGGACTGTCTGGTGGGCTTGAGATCGGATTAAAGAGACTGATGAATTGTTTCATTAGATTTATTTTTGGAGTCCCCAGGGGCTCCCACATCTCCAGTTGGTATGCTGAGTTGAAGTTTGGGTAATGGGGAAAAACCTAGAAAATTATAGTATCTAAAATTTGAAGATATGGATGGATAAAATGGAAAAGTACTATATCTATGGAATATTAAATTATAAATATATACATATACATATATAAATAGAATTAAGATAATTCTTAATTCTATAAATACAATTAAGATAGTTCTTAATTAAATAAATAGAATTAAGATAATTCTTAATTCTATAAGTAGAATTAAGATAATTCTTAATTCTATTTATATGTATATTCCATAGATATAGTACTTTTCCATTGTATCCATCCATATTTTCAAATTTTAGATACTGTAATTTTCTAGGTTTTTCCCTATTACCCGAACAAGTCAGCTTCCCCTATACCTGCCCTTACCCTGGTTCTCCAGTTCTAAGTGAAACTACTAGCTAAACACACCTGTAAGTCTCTAATTTTATTCTTCCAATTTTATTTAATTTTTTGGTTCTCTTTTCTTTCTCCACATTCCTTTATGTCTTTTATTTCATATTATATCCTTTTTCCTTTTCTTCTAATTTCTCCTGTAGATCTGTAGAAGTATATTCACATTTGCATTTATTATATATTACACTACAACAATTGTTAGTATCTATTTACTTCAGTTTAAGATCTTGTTACTTAGCTTACTTTATTCATATTTTAACACACTTACTGTTTATAATTTTAATAAGCTTATTCACATTGTTTATAATTTTTTGTCTAAATATTATGTAACTTTCACAATTCTCTATCTTTTTGTATCTTGTCCATTCTAGCCCTGAAGAAGACCTGCAAAGTCGGGTCGAAACGTTGGCTTTTTACCACTATTTAGCCTATTTATGACCGCCACCCCGGACCATCTCCTTCCTTTAAAATATATTATGAAATGTATTTTGTGGGGAAAATCAATCATATACAATATTCGTTGTACCTCTAAAACCTCTTAAATAAGAATTTTCCCTGAAATGAAAAATGTTAATTTTTTTCTTATTATTCTTCCTTCAATTAACAGCTCTTATGAGATCCATTCATGTTTATAGCTATATAGTAGATATTAGTTGAACAAAATATAATTATTTTTCAATTGTAAAGAAAACTTCCTGAAGATTTAAATATATTTTGTTCAAGTGGTTTTATATATATATATATATATATATATATATATATATATATATATATATATATATATATATATATATATATAATTTTAGTATAAAGTTTTGTCTTTAAGTTATTTTGGACTACATTCAATTTTCATTTATCAAAGTGATAAAGGGTGAATATTATACCAATAACAGAGAACCTCAAATCTAAAAAAATTAGACCACTAATATAAATAATCTATCAAAACATATTTTAATCTATCAAATTAATGAATCTCAGTATTCTGTAAACATTAAACTCATCCACAAATTTTCAGATAAATCAGCAACTCAACTAGATTAATTATTTTGGATTTTGAAAAATATGTATGCTAGAAGAAATCACTTAAATTATTTCAATTATTTGGAGAATAATAAAATTATACTTAATAGCCAAATAGTCTCTAGATTATTCCTCAGCTTGTACAAAAAGACTTTTGATTGTTAAAAAAGAAATCCAATTAATATATAAGTTTTATTATTAAGTGTTCTCTCAAGTTCAGTATAAGGGAAAGTATACTGTATTCTTGATTTTTTAAAAATGTATTGTTTATTAATTTATTTTTGAACGTTAGGCTTTATTTATTTATATATTTATTATAATAAATATTTAATGCATAATAAAGAAATAAGCTTGAAGATCATTTTAAGACACCTCCAATTTTTTTTTTTATAAAACTAGATCTTATTCAGTTAGTTGATTTTTAATAGAATAATGCATGATTGTTACAACTTTATTTTACTTTAATTAAAAATTGAGCATTAATGTAATTCACTAAAACTTAAAAGTTTTGTTATTACAGAGTTAACCATGATTGGAATAATACGATTGTGAATGAAGATGTTAGCACTAATAGGAGGCGTCATTGGCAGAAGCATTATATCTGGAAAAGATGCTACAAATCTTGTGGAGAGAGTAATATACCATTTCACCTTTTTACTGATGCATGAAATATTATAATTTGATATCTAAGTTTACTGAAACATAGGCCAAATCATTTTACAAAAGAATTTGAAAACTAGAATATGTCCATTTTTTCCATAAAGCTATATTTAACACAACAAATTATCTATGACATCTTGATCTAAAACCATTTATTATATGATAACCTTACTAATGTACACATACTTTTTACCTAAAGGGGCAGGGTAAAATGATTACGAGTTCGCATCCCATGGCCAAGGAGGTCTTTTAACTTTGGCATTAATTTCATAAAAGCACTTAATACCTATAAGTTGATCGAAACTATTAGATTCATTATCTGAATAAATAGTTGTATTTTTTTTTTTTTTTTTTTTATAGCCACTTATGAAACAGCAGTTTGTGTCCATCACTCCACTGAAATGATTGTCCCTGATAAACAATGTTCTACTCCGAAAAAGCCTGTGGAAGAAGACCATAGATGTAATTTTACTAATAACCAATGTCTTCCAGAGTAAGTGATTTTTTTTTCTCAACAGTATGAACCAATTACTGAACATTTTCATGTGAAATCATCCTTGGGGGGGGGGGGGGGAGGAGGGGCACCTCTGTTCTTGAAGTCTTTAATGTTCCCTGTTCAGTCAAAATATTTTATAGCTACCAGTGATCAATAGGATCATACACAGAAACAGACTTTGGGGGAGGATTGCCTCCCACTCCAATAAAAATGTTGAGGGGTGAAAATATCATTTGCCTCTCTCCCAATAATGTGAGGTAAAAAGAAATTAAAATCAATAATAAATAAGCTACATGAATGAATAAAATGTGTAAACTAAAATTGATTATGAAAAGTTGACAAGCTGGCTAGGCTAGGGCCTAGTAGTAGGTATGTAACTATTTTATTGATACCTAAATTTTACTTTTATTTAAATTGTCATTTATATTCAAAGATAATTATATATAAATATATATATATATATATATATATATATATATATGTATATATGTGTATATATAATTATCTTTGAATATAAATGACAATTTAAATATTGGAACCAACTGAAAAAAAAAATAATATATACATATAATAATATACACATATATACATATATATATATATATATATATATATATATATATATATATATATATATATATATATATATATATATATATATTTTTTTTTTTTTTTTTTTTTTTTTGGTTGGATCTACAGACCTTATAGATCTTTGGCTGCCTTACCAGCCTTCTCCACCTCTGCCTATCTTGGGCTACTGCTTTCCAGTTTGCAGCATAAAGCTCAGCCATATCTTTGTTTATCCTATCTATCCATCTGGTCTTTGGTCTCACACGTGGCCTCTTGCCTACTACTCTTGCATTCATTGTCATGTAAAGGCATCCTGATGGATTGCTATGAGCTACATGCCCTGCCCATCTTAACCTCCTTGCCTTCATGTCATGAGATATTGACTGACCCATTTCTTTCAGCAGTTCTTTATTGTTCCTTCTTCTCCATGTGTCAAAGTTCTGGTCCCATATAGGTCCTGTTTTCCTACGTAGAACTTCTCTTTCGAATCTTTCAATTCTGGCTTCTAGTGTGCCGGTTAGAGCCCAGGTTTCACAACTGTACATCAGAACTGGCTTAATCACGGCGTTGTACACCCTTATTTTGAGATTTCTGGAGATTTTTCTGGATTTCAGTACCCTTGAAAGAGAGAAGAAAGATCTGTTTGCACTTGTTATTTGCTGGTCTATCTCTGTTAGTTGATCATTTATTGAGATTATTATGGAGCCAAGGTATTTAAATCTGTCTACTTTCGGGAATGACTTAGAGTCCACGCAGATCATGTTATTAGGATGGATGTTTCTACTAACTATCATGTATTTTGTTTTATCTACATTGACTTGTAGTCCGATTTTCTCTGCTTCTTTTAAGAGAGTCCGAGCGACATTTCCCTGCCTCAAACCCGTTCGAACTTCAAAGGCTTCAGATACTAGTATTACTTCAGATACAGTATTAGTACCCTGCATTTAGGATCATTTGTACATGCCTTCGTCAACTTCACTAACTTCCCAGGAACACCCAACTCAGTTATGATCTTCCAGAGACAGTTTCTGTCTACAGAGTCATAGGCTGCTTTGAAGTCAACAAATAATGCGTGTACATCCTGATCTACATCCCATCATTTTTCAAGTACTTGTTTTGGGATGAATATTTGATCTAGCATACTCCTCCCTCTCCTGAATCCTGTTTGATGGTGGCCTATTATGATTTCATAATACGGATATATCCGATTTAGCAGAATATTAGTCATTATTTTATAGGCGACCGGAAGAAGTGCTATGCCTCTGTAATTCCACATTCATACATGGAGCCCTTCTTAAGGATAGGACAGATCAATCCAGTGTTCCATGCTTCTGGTATCCGTTCCTTCTCCCATATCTTCTGGATTAGATCTAATAGCTTGGCTCTGAGTTCTTCTCCCCCATCCTTGAACAATTCTGATGGTAGATTGTCTATTCCTGGAGCTTTTCTTCTTTTTTTATTTTTTATTTTTTTTTTATTTATTTCTTTTTTTAGTCATTCTTGGGGATTTCAATGCACGGATGGGTCGCCAAGTAGGAAGCAGAGTTGTCAGAAAGAATGGAGAGGCTCAGATTACAGACAACGGAAAGAGGCTCATCGATGTTTGCGAAGCGTTCGATTTGCAGATTCAGAACACATTCTTTCAGCACAAGCCCATACACCAATTCACATGGAGTAAGCCTGGATACCAATCGTCTATACTTGATTACTGCATCACCAGACAAAAATCAAGTTGTAAAGTGGAAGATGTGAGGGCGTCCAGGGGTTGGGAATGTGGAACTGACCACTTTATGCTCCGGACCAAGATTCTTTTCCTGTGAAAAGGTGGACGGGGTCTAAAAGAGGGACGCTGCAAAACAGAGAGTATCACCTTACCAAAGTACAAACTATATCTCCTTATGGAGGACAGTGTTGGGAGGTTATACAGAAGCAGATTAGAGGAAAAAATAGATCTGAGCCAGGGAAGCAATCTTTCGGAAAAATACTTAAGGGAGTGCATCCACGCAGCAGCCTCGGAGGCGTTAGGGTATGATGAAAAGAAAAAACAATCAGATTGGTGGTCTGAGGAAGTCTCAGATTTGGTTGAGACCAAAAAAGAGGCATATAAGAAGTACCTAGCGTCAAACAGGGACCAGGACTGGATTGCCTACTGAGCTCTGAACAAACTTGTTAAGGGGGAAGTTGTAAAGGAGAAGAATAACTCCTGGGAGAGATGCTGCCAGAGAGTAGATGAAACACTGGGCTTCAATCGAGTGCGAGAAGCTTGGAATATTTTGAGGAGCTTGAGGGCACCACGAAAGGGCAATGTTATCTCTTCTATCAGTGAGGAGAGATGGAAAAAGCATTATGAGACCCTCCTTAACGAAAGTAGAGCGAAGTTTATGGCACAAGAGGGCAACACACAGGAAGACTGCAAGCCGGACCATATGCAAGTAAAAGAAGAACAAGTGAGGGCTGCTATAGGCAGAGCTAAAAGCGGAACAGCTCCAGGACCAGGGGGCTTGTATATGGAACTTTTAAAGGCCGGTGGAGATAAGATGCTTACACTCCTTACCAATGTGACGAACATGATCCTAAAAGGGTGTGATCTACCTGATGATCTCAGAACAGGATACCTCTGCTCCATCTTTAAAAAAGGAGATAGGAAGCAATGCCAGAATTATCGCGGCATCTGTGTACAGAGCTCAGTCAGTAGGATTGTTGGGAGACTTGTCCAGGATAAGCTGGAAGCAGAGTACACCACACCGGTGGAACAAACTGGTTTCACTGCCGGGAGATCCTGTATGGACAATATTTTTGTACTCCGGCAGCTCATTGAGAAATGCAGGGCGAAGAATGGGGAGCTTCATTTAGCCTTCATTGATCTGGAGCAGGCATATGACAGTGTCCCTAGGGAAAGAATATGGATAGCACTGAGAAGAGCGGGTATTAATGAATCCACGGTACAAGCAATTCAACACTTGTATAAAAGCGATCTATACAGAGTGAAGATTGGGAACCGCCGCTCGGAACCGTTTTCTGGAACCAAAGGGCTGAAGCAGGGGTGTTGTATGTCTCCAAGCATTTTCAAGATATACTTGGATGAAGAAAGCAATGGATGAGACGAGGTCGAGACTACGGAGTGTACTTTGACGACGATGAGCTCCTTACCCTGTTCTTCGCAGACGATCAAGTGGTGATGGCCCGGAAGAAAGTTTACCTGGAGATGGTGGTTGTACAATTAAAGGAAGCTTATGAAGAGGCAGGTCTCAGGATTAACTTCCAAAAGACTGAGTATATGGCACTGGGAGATGAGGAAGACGACCTATGCATAGGTGAACAGGTATGAAAAAAAGTAAAGGCATTTAAATACCTCGGGTCCTATCTGGACAATGTTGGAATGTCCGAAGTGGATGTCCGAAACAAGGTAGAGATGGCAAGAAAAGCTACTAGAATGCTGCATCCTGTTCTCTGGAACGACACTATTTCAAACGCGAACAAGCAGCGTATCTTCACGGCTATTGTTGAGTCCATGTTAACCTACGGATGTGAGGCATGGTCGATGAATGCTGGCTTGTATGCCAAAATTCGGACTGTAGAAATGGATTTCTGGAGAAGGTGTCTACAGTTAACGAGGCTGGACAGAGTCCGAAATGAAGTGGTGAGACAGAGAATAGGTGTAGAGGAGACCGTCTCTGAGAGGATCGGGAAACGGCGATTGAGGTGGTATGGGCACTGCAGGAGAATGTCGGAAGAGCATTGGCCAAACAGAGTCCTGGACTGGCAGCCACCCGGAAAGCATAGGTGAGGACGACCGAGAACCACGTGGATGGAAGGAGTCCGAGAAGAGATGGCCGGCCGAGGTCTACAGGAGGGTGACTGGGAGGATAGAGATGGGTGGAGCTCTGCTCTGACCTGAAGAGGTATCCCACGTTGGAACACCGGATGAAAAAAAAAAAAAAAAAAAAATTATTGAATATTACAACAACCTGTCTCTTGGACAAATTATTCTTTTAAGCCTGCCGATAGCTATTTCCACATCCAGAATATCTGGTTTTTCAACCTCAAGTGGGTCGATGTCCTCAGTGTGGTCCATGTCTTCTTCGTTTGTGGGGTGACCTTGGTTAAGCAGTTGCTGGAAGTGTTCCTTCCAGATGCTTAGGATCTTTTCTTTTGATGCCGTCAATTTGCCATCTTTCCCTCACATTTGTGTATTTCTCACTTTGTATCCTACCCTTTCTTTCCTGATATCTGAGAAGAATTCGTATATATTTCCAGCCTGCCAGTTTTCCTCAATAGTTTGTAATCTTTCTTTGAGGAATTCTCTTTTGGCTGTTCTTATTATTTTGTTTGTCTTTTTCCTGGCGGCTGTGTATTTGTCCTGCATAGCAGTTTGTAAGCAGAGGACTTTTCTTCCTTCCTCCACTGCCTTTTCGCATGCTTCTGTGAACCATTTCTTGGCTTTTCTTTTTTCCTGAATCCCTATTACTTCCTTAGCTGTTTGTTTTAGCCCTGACTCTAGTGCCTCCCAGTGCTGGTCAACAGTGAGACTTTCCGAGTTCAAGGGTTCGAATTTATTTTTCAGCTCAATTTTATTATAAATTTTATTATAATTATATACATACAATATATATATATATATATATATATATATATATATATATATATATATATATATATATATATATATATTCCGTAAGCAAAGTAGGGTTCTTGCATCATAGGCCGCAATGTCCAGCCATCTTATCCTTGGCTTTCCTAACCGTCTTGCGAAGTACAGCCCCTCAATCATAATTTTTTGGGGGTGCTCTGCCACATATTCTGGCCACATGCCCTACCCACCTTAGTCTGGCAAGTTTAATGTAGGCTACGTCGATGTCTGAATAAAGAGAACTGAGCTCCCTATTTTTTCTTTTCCTCCAGATATCACCCTCCTTTACTGGGCCATAGATCCTTCTGACACCTCGCTCGAACACACTCAGCTTCATCTCATCACTTTTTGCCATTGTCCAAGCCTCTGAGCCATATGTCAAAACTGGCAATACAGTCTTGTATTTATATACAAGCTCTTCAGCTTGGTCTTCTTTGAGAGATACCTACTTCTAAAGTGTCGACCAAGTCCAAAGACACATCTGAACTCTCCATTTGAGTTAGGATCTTTTACGTTTGAGAGAGTAAAAAACTTTATATACCTTGGGTCTGAAGTAAATAGCAAGAATGACATGGGAAGAGAAGAATCACGGCTACCAATAGATGTCTTTGGACTAGTAAAAGCCCCTGCTATTTTTTTTTTTAACCCGTCGCCACGCTAATCAAAATTGAAAGTCTACGGGATCATAAGTCTTTCTTCTTTGAATATATTTTATGTATTAGTGGAAAGCTCATCATATTATAGATAATCCATAGCCAAAGAAGTGAATTCTTAAAATTTCTAGTAACTAGATTCAGTCATTTGCTTTTGTTTCTATGTTTCATTTATAATTTATATCCTTAGTTAAACTATATGTTAAAAACCAGAAGCTTTTAATCATTAGATTCTTGAAAGTAATATAAATATTTATTTTCATAATATATGGAAAGAAATAGCCCACATAGGCAAAGATGGAAAATGCTGATTAAGTTGGAAAAACCAAGGTCTGTAAAGCTAACATAAAATATATATGAAGGAAGGAGATAGTCCGGGATGGCGGTCATAAATAGGCTGAATAGTGGCAAAACTATCTTACTAAAAGCCAACGTTTCAACCCGGCTTTGCAGGTCTTCTTCGGGGCTAGAACGGACAAGAGACAAAAAGATAGAGAATTGTGGAAGTTACATAATATTATGACAAAAAATTATAAACAATGTGAATAAGCTTATTAAAATTATAAACAGTAAGTGTATTAAAATATAAATAGAGTAAGCTAAGTAACAAGATCCTAAACTGAAGTAAATAGATGGTAACAATTGTTGTAGTGTAATATATATAATATATGCAAATGAGAATATACTTCTACAGATCTACAGGAGAGAATGAAATAAAAGGAAAAAGGATATAATATGAAATAATAGATATGATGTGTCCACACAGGAATGTGGAGAAATAAATAAAAAAAAAAAAGAAAACCAAAAAATAAGTAAATAAAATTAAAAGAATAAAAATAGAGACTTACAGGTGTGTTCAACTAGGGGTTTCACTTAGAACTGGAAAATCAGGGTAAAGGCAGGTATTGGGGAATTTACTGACTTGTTTGGGTAATGGGGAAAAACTTAGTAAATTACAGTATCTAAAATTTGAAGATATGGATGGATACAAGGGAAAAAATACTATATATATGAAATATTAAATTATAAATATATATATACATATAAAATAGAATTAAGATATTATAGATAAGAGTACAATGTGAATAAAAACCAAAATGGAAGAAGTAAAATGTGCATAGAAGTAAAATATAAATACACAATTCTCTATCTTTTTGTATCTTGTCCGTTCTAGTCCTGAAGAAGACCTGCAAAGTCGGGTCGAAACATTGGCTTTTAATAAAATAGTTTTGCCACTATTCAGCCTATTTATGACCGCCACCCCGGACCATCTCCTTCCTTTATAATGCAATGGTCTACTATTAAATATTCAATAAAATATATATATCTATCCCTAGGTAAGAGAAATATATTTTGTGAAATAGTGTAAATATATAGCAAAATAAATGGACTCTAGAAATCTCCAATAGCTCAAATCAGTCATTTTTAATTGTTTTCTGCTTTTAATATATAATTTCTATGAATAGTTTATATTGGAAACCGGAAGGTTTCTAATCATTATCTTTAGAAGTAATATATTAGCATGCTTACTGAACTCCAATTGGTTTGAAAAAATTCTATTCATTATTTTAAAATATAAATAATAAACACAATCCACAAACAACTTCAGAAGATCTGGTAGATTCAAGATTGGACAACACTTGGGGTTTACAGCTTGATTTTAATAAATAATATTTAGAGGAAACCAACTCATAAATCCAACTAGATGGTAAGTTTGGAACTACTTTTAAATATATATTTTTTAAGAATTTGTAAATCATTGCAACCTTATAAAACTAATAATCTGATCTAATTCAATTCCCTAGTAGGGATTAATTTAATCATTTCAATAAATCCATGATAAAGTTTTAATAATTTGTTTCATGAACAAATAATTTTATTTTCATTAAAGATGGGTACCTTCAGAATGGAGTCCATGCTCAGCGACCTGTGGAGAAGGAGTACATATAAGAGAAGTGGCATGTAAACAATTAACTTCTTCTGGATACCCATTGATTTTACATGCTAAATCTTGCTCAACATCACCTCCTCCAACAGTTAAGAAATGTCATTTGAAAGCTTGTGATGCAGTTGCTCCTTCTACACCATGGGATGTTGGACAGTGGTCAAAGGTATGATCTTTATATGTACCATTCTTTTGATGAATTGGTAATAAGAGAGCTTAGTAGAATCTTTAACATTTGGTATTATAATCATAATACAAATAGAATATTTATCTCATTACTATGGACTTTATAATTTTCATAATCCTACTGCTAAAATTTAAAGGGCAATCATACTTTACTTACTTTAAATTTAAATTACTTAAATCAAAAATTATATTTACTCTAACTTCTTTATCAGTTATATTTTATGTAAAAAATTTATCGCTTGGTTAAAAGGTCAGAAAAATCTGATTTTTCTATACTAAATATATCAAAATTCATGGAATAAAAGTTAAACTGGAGGAAAAAATAATGAGATATAAAGTAAACATCCTTAAAATTTTGAAATTCATGGATGTCTGCTGTTGGGATTTGACAGGGAGTGAGTTGAGTTGGTTGTTCAAGCTCAGGTGTAAACTCCTTTATTTGAATTACATCCCATGGCTTGACAGAGAATATACAGATTGTCCACTCTGTAACCTACCAGTAAAGGAGGACCTATTCCATTTTTTGGCTGAGTGTTCAATGCTTAGTCAAATTCGTATCAAATTTCTTGGAACTATCCCGCTCCGAAATGATATCCTAATTTCCCTTCTAAATGCCCTCTCGTGAACGAATGACGTAAAATTGTCAGTTTTGCTCGACATGCGTGGAAACACCATTTTAATTTGCTACATCCAGCATAAACAATGATCCGTCTAATTTATTTGTGGTCAGTTTTATTCATGTTATTGTTTATTATTTTCCTTTATTATTATTTCTTAGACATAAATTATTCAAAATATTTATTATTTTATTGTGTTTTATTATTTATCAGTCATTCATGTATATGCAGTTGTTATAAGGTCTTAATTTGTACTGTACATGTGAAACATATAACAATTCCGGCAGACGAGTAATCATGCCGTATAAATGTTCTTTGTATTTTGGAAATTTATAATTTATACATATTTAATAAAGTAAAAGTAGTTCATTCTTCTGAGGTCAAATATCATTTACAAAAATTATCTTCCTGCAAATCTCCTGGATACGACCTTCTAACCTCACAGATCCTTCATCAACTACTACCCAAAGCGATCATGTCCCTCACATATATATACAACTGCATCCAAAGAACTACCCATTTTCCTCTCTTATGGAAACATTCCACCATCGTCCTTTTCCTGTACCAGCCAAACCTTCCAATAACACATCATCCTATAGACCAATCAGCCTATTCCCAATCCTTTCAAAAATATTTGAAAAAATCCTGTATTTCTTAAAATTAAAAAGAATCCTACCCATAATAGAAGCACAAAACCTTCCTACCCATCAATTCGGATTTCATTTCCAGCATTCCACCGTTCAACAAGGACTCCGAATTGTTGACCACATATCCTCAGCCTTAGAAAGCAAAGAGTATTGCTCGGGAGCATTCCTGGACATCGAGCAAGCTTTCAACCGCGTATGGCACACCGGACTACTCTTCAAGCTCAAAATCCACCTACCCCAGTCCTTACATCTAATACTCTGATCCTACCTCTCTGACCGCTCCTTTTGAGTTCGTTGTGGTACAGAATTCTCCAACTGCCATTCAATTGAGGCAGGAGTTCCTCAAGGCAGCGTCTTGGGTCCCGTCCTCTACATTCTGTTTACCCCTGATATTCCTACTCATCCCGAAACCCTCCTGGCAACATTCACTGATGACACAGCCATCCTATCTTCCAATCCAGATCCTAAAACAGCATCCTTAAACCTACAAAGTCACCTTTCTCTTATTGAACATTGGTGTAATAAGTGACTCATCCAAGTAAATGAATCCAAATTCAAACACATCACTTTTACCCTTGGGCACAAGTCCTGTCCACCAGTCTATTTCAAATCTATACCACTTTCTCTCTCAGACACAGTCTGGTTTCTTGGCTTTCTTCTAGATAAAAGACTAACGTGGAACCCACATACCAGACTTAAAAGACAACAACTTAACAGACGATACAGACAGCTATATAGACTAATGAATAGAAAATCTCAACTTTCAGTCGACAACAAACTACTAATCTACAAGACAATCCTGAAACCTATCTGGAACTATGGACTAGAGCTGTAGGGGACAATAAAACCTCCTAACATTAAACGTATTCAATACTTTCAGTCTAAAGTCCTCCAAACAATAGTCGATGCTCCCTTCTATTTAACCAATAAAACCCTCCATAATGACCTTCATATCCCCCCCCCAAAATATGTATATATTGGAGTACTGGCAATGGCCAGATTCTCCACTCAAGTCCTGAGCGTCTGTTGCTCTAGTGCCCTCCATCAGTCTCCACTGGCTTGCAATACCAGTGACCAGGGAGAGAAGCACTGGGATCTCCTGGGGTCCTGCCTTGGCTTCCACATTTGGGGGACAAAGCATGACTCAGAATCCCCTAGGCGAATGTAAATATTGTATATAGGTTTGAATGTGTTTTATGTATTTTAATTTCATTTAGTCTCTACAATTTTTTTTTTTTTTAGACACATGTGTTAATTTCCCTATTTTACTTTCTACAACTCTTTTTCTTTTATCTCTATTTTAGTTTACCATTTGTATGTATACATTGTGTGAATGTTTAATGTAGCCCTAATATTATTGCCCTCCAATGCAGCAGAATGTATAAATTTTCAAATAAAAAATTTAATAAAGCATTTTTCATTCATTCATTTATTCAAGTAAACAGCCTGAGCATAAGCGAAGTGAAATAGAAGAGAAGTATTAAAATTGAATATAAGGTACACTTGAAAGTTACTACGTTCTAGCAATGCTGGCCTTAGACATTCGGCGCCCCCGGGCAATGACTGACGTTTCCTCTCCCTCCTCCTTAAAAAAATTAACTTTATTTCGTACGCAGTTTTATACTATGTAATATTTGAATTTTTTCATTCTCTAAAACAGTTGATTTATTGATAGACTAAAATTAATTTTTTTAAGATGTTTTAAATTTTTTTTATATTTATAACAAGTGGCTAGCGCCCCTGAAGATCGGCCAGGGCCCCTCCAGGTCAGCACTGCGTTCTAGTATCTTCCAGAAAATAACCAAATCTTGCCAAGATAGGAACAGTATAATAGATTATTTTATGTTATTTTTAAGTAATCAGCAGAATGTAAAAAGGCATGAATATGTATAGGATCTATATTACTTTTCTTCTACAGCAATATTTGTTTATTTCAGGAAATAATTCTGACATTATAAAAAAAAACTTTATTTTTATACATGACTTACAAGATTTTTAACCAAATAATATAAAGATTGATATGTTAAAAAACCTCTCCAGTTTTGTTAATACATACTATGATGTTATTCAATCAATTGTTACTTAGTCGACTATAAGCTATTAATCATGTTCACAGTGTTCTTCATCATGTGGAGAAGGATTCAAAACTAGAACAGTAACATGCAGATCAACTTTGTGCCATTCAGATGACGTACCCCCTACTAAAGAATCTTGTTATTCAGTTTGCCCAACCCAAGGAATGTGGTTAACTTCACAGTGGAGCACAAAAGCAAGCAAAGTAGAGATGCAACCATCAATTAAGAAATATGTATGTATTTTAAAATAAAATGTTTCTCAATAATATGGCTCAACTTCCATTTTATTAAAATAATCCATCAACTGCCACCTTGTGTCAATAGTTGGTGACTAGCTGTTCATGTCTAATTCTAAATATTTTTTTATAACTAGTGTCGATATTTTTAATTTAGGAAATCAGATGAAAGATTAACAGTTTATTAACAAACCTTTAGAAGGAAAAATTTTTTGGAAAGAAAAGAATTGCTTGATCATATTTTGAATACTTTCTAGCTTAAATTTTTTTATTTTTGTTGATTTAATTTTTTTTTCATTATTAATTTCTAGTGTAATGAAAAATGTGGAAATGGGTGGCAAATGCGAAATGTTATTTGTTTTGGAGACAAGGAATGTAGTAGTGTTGAACAACCAAAAATATTCCAAATGTGCAGAAGCGATGAAAGTTGCTCAGGACAATGGTTCACAGGACCATGGCAAACGGTACTTGGAAAATTTAAATTTTTGAGATTAAATCTTTAAACTGAATTTTTTAAGATGTGAAATTGACTTTAGTTATAGAAATAATAATAATAATAATATATATATACGTTTTTTAAGTATATATATATATATATATATATATATATAAAAAACTTATTTTAACAACTTCAGTGCTTAGTAATAAATTGACATTTTTTACTTTAAATTCCATAATTTGAATCCATCATAGATGTATTTTTTCTTGTGGTATTAGTCAAATCCAAAAATTATTGACATTAAGTAATAAAATTTAGTATTCCATGACTACTCTAATCTAACCAAAAAAATAATAATAATATTATATAATATATATATTTTTCTTTTTGCATTCCTTCATTTTCTTAACTTTTTTGGTTTAGTATAAGTACTTTCTAGCTACATTGTTCAGTTTTAGGTATGTAAAAATATTAATATATAAATATAAATTTAACGATATGATTCTGCTTTTAATATTTGTAGTGCAGTGGTGTTTGTGATGAGGGAAATCAAAAGCGGGATGTAGTGTGTTTAGGAAAAATCAAAAATGAATTTGTGAGTGTTCCTGAACATAACTGTAAAACTGATGAAAAACCAGTTCCAATTCAAAAGTGCAAGCTTCTTGAATGTTCTGCAACATGGTATACAACAGAATGGAGCACAGTAAGATTAATTATAAAATAGTTATAATTTTCTATATTAAATCATCCTGAAAAACAAATAAAAAGAGCTAAAACACCGCCAGTAGATCAACAGATCTTTGACAACCTGTTGTCAAAGATCTCTTTGACCGCGAGTGTGGTCTCCTAAACCACATCCCGATTCCCGATTTAAAGTACTGGGTAGGGTCATCAATCCTACGCCCAGTTGGTGTGAGTTGCCTCCAGTATGCTGGCGGGTCTCACATATACCGGGGGGAGGGAGGAATCTCGGGCAGCGTGGTTTTCCTTGTCCCCACCAAGCCACGCTCGACGTTGCTTAACTTTGATTATATATATATATATATATACATTTTTTAAAAAATTAAATATTCATTTCATAAGATATAAGAATGTGTTGTGATAATATGTGAAAGTTAATAGAAAAATAAACTAAACTGACTATTTTAAATTAGATTCAAGTAATTCATTTAAGGTACATTTTAACTCTTATCTAGGCACAGTTACTCTTTATTTCTCATTTAATATAACTTTTTTAAGAACTTAAATAAATAAAATATAAACTTTTACCATAAACCTAGAACTTTGTTACAAACAAGTTCTTTAGAACCTTTATTTTAAGAACGTTTTTTTCTATATAATCCCACAGAAACTGTTAAAATAGAATCTTTAAAACAGTTCCATAAAAGTTTCAATTCCTGCATAGTTCCATTAAAAATAATTTGCTTTAATGATTTACTAATTATTAAGAAAATAATGAATATTTCGTTCTATATTACTTAAGATTTTTTTTATTTTTATACTTGAACAATATAAATCACTTTTTAAAAAAAATGTTTTAGTGTTCAAAAAGTTGTGGAGGTGGTATGCAGTATAGGAAAGTGTATTGTGTGAAGAAAAATTTAGAAAGTACTTTGTGCACTGAAAATGAAAAGCCTCCAAAATCACAGGGCTGTAACACACATTTGTGTACAGCTTTTATAAAAGGTAAAAAAACTGTTATCATTGGTTAGTTATACATATGAATACATACATTTGGAAATGAAATAATATGATTGAATAAGTGGCATTTATTTCAATAAATGTAATATTTTCTTTAAATTCAAAATAATGCTATTCAATAATTCAAATCTCAATCACAATTAGAAATTAATTCAGCTAGCATAAAAAACTAATATTAGATTTTTAAAAAAAAGAATGACAGTAGTATCCTTCAAATTAAATGAGCAACTTACTTTAGCACATTTGAGAGAGTTAGAATTTGTTTTTACTGCTCTCTCCTTATTTCAATATCAAATTAAAAATCACCTATTTTTTTAATAATATAAGTAATAATAATTAATGATACAACATCAATAATGAAATAGTAATGATGCCATTCTTACCTTTTTTTTTTATTTTTCATAGCTTAACGTTTTAGGGTGAACTACACATTATAAAAAGCATAATATTATTGATTTAAATGTTTTTTATTTATATATTTTTACATTAATCCGTCATGTTTTTTTTTTATTTCGATATTTCATCATTAAACTATAACTTTAATTTGTTTGTTTAAAGGTCATACTATATATCCAGTTATTTATATTATAATAAATGATCTTCCATGTTAAGCTTTCAGCATCTCAGATAAAACTTGAAAATTTTAAACTGAAAAGTCCACAATGAATACATATCTGACACTATTCTTTTTTAATGTATTATTAAGGCATTTTGAAATCCGCTATTTATAGGCGATGCATTACTTAAAAACTTAATAATGTTTATTACTCATTTTATCATGATATAAAAGAATATTCATTTAAGCTATAAGAAAATATTTTTTAAAACTTTAGTATATAGTTGGTAATTGGTATATGAAATAAAAAAAGTATAAATTCAACCAAAGTCAATATTTTTTTCTTTTAACTAATCAGTATTTTTTTTCCAGACACTGACTGCATAGATAGACATAAATATTGTCAAAAAGCAGTCGTGCAAGCTAGACTGTGTAATTACTCTTATTATAAAAACCTTTGTTGTCAGTCTTGCTCTGATAAAAACTAAGGCATTTTTTTTCACATTGAGAGATGATACAAAGATTTGATGATATTAAAGGGTGTTACTCATTAAGCTATATGTTTACTTTATTTACCAAAATAATATTTATATAAAGTGTGGCATTTTATTTATGTTATTATTTTTTTTTTAAATTTAGATAAACACCTCTTTAAAGAGAGTTTTAAACATATTTTACTGTTTATTTAAAAAAAGAGGGCTTAATGTTAACAATTTTAAAGTTAAAATTACAGTAGACTCTCTCTTATCCTTTGTTATCAGGAACAATTAGATGTTTGACTAGTTAAAACATACAATAAATCAGATATATCTAAACACTTAAATACGATTACAAATATACCAATCTATCAAAAGATTTAAAAAATCAGTATATATATATGTATGTGTATATATATATATATATATATATATATATATATATATATATATATATATATATATATATATATATATATATATATATAAAACTCTGAAAAGGCTGTTATTTTAATTAATTTATACTATTTTTTAAATAAATATGTAGTTTTTTTTTATAATAGTAAATATATTTATAAAGATTTTTCATTGGGTAGGTGCCAAATAAGGTGTACCATTCAACAAAAGACTAGATAAGAGAGAGTTCACTGTACTTTAAAAACTAATTCTAAATCTGTGATAATTTGATACTTTTTATTATGTATAAAATTAGTCATACTTTATTAAATTATTTATTTTACTTTATAACTTTGAGTATTTAAGATATCTATTCCTAATTTTAGTATGTATTTTGGAACTCATAAACAATATTAATGTATCTCTTTATAATATTGTTCCCTTTTTTTTTGTATGCCCAAAGAAAAGAAATATTTAATTTGTAACCTAAGTTTATTTTAAACAATACGTTAATATTTATGGTTTGATTTGTAATTTATGTTTATTTTTAAACAATGCCATAAATGTGGATCCATAATATAAAAAATCTTGTAATTTATCGAGACTTACAACTTTCATAAATGATATCTAAACAACTAGGCTGCAATTTAAACTTTCTTACAATTTTTACACTATATACACACTGTGTAAACCATTATATGTTAATTAATGAGGAGCTGTACTGTACTTTTGATTAATAATTTGTTACAATTAATGGTCTATTCTTCTTTGTGGTGTAAAATATGTTTACTTTATTAGGGACTTTTCTTAGTATTCCTTTTCTACATATGACTGCAGTATGTATTGTATGATAAGTTAATGGAAATTAAAATCATCAACAATGAAAATACATTTATTTTTTACCTTTGCCCTAAATACTTCTAATTGTTATTTTGATTATTTGAGTCTCTGTGCCACAAATAAAAATATCTCCTCTTTAACTGTTAATTTCTGAAAAACTAACCTCAATTTTACAAATTAATATGAAGCTATTGAAAGTTGACTTTGCATCATACCCAATAACAAATAATGATTACTTTAAATGTTCGGAAATCAAACTTATCCAATGCTTTCAGTCCATAAGTCAATGCTCCATACTACATCACAAACAAAACCTTACATAATTAACTCATCTCCTTTGTCCTCAACGTAATTCCATCTAGATCCCCAAATCTTCATTAAAACCTTATTCATCATCCTAATTCCTTAGCACAATCCCTATTAAACTCTAACCATCCATACAATCTCCCACAAAGGTTAAAAAGTCAATGGTATTAAAATTAGCAATTTACTAAAAACCTTTTGTTAACATACTACTGGAGTTCTAACAATAGCCAACTTCTCCACTCAAATCCTGAGCGTATGCAACTTTACTGCACTCACTCAGTCTCAACTGGCTTTCAATACCAGTAATGCAGATGGAAGAGAATCACTGAGATCTCCTTGAGTGCTGCTTTGCCTTTCACATGACAGTACATGTTTCAAAGTTCTCCAGACTGAATGATGAATTTTGTTTATATTTTTATCTTTTATATATATCAACATATACACGAATGTTTACATAGAGCCATAATACCTAATGTCCTTGATTTTATAATTATTCTTCAATAAAAAAAAATATTTTTCTCACACATATCTTTTTTTTCTCCACTTCCTAGCCTTTATGGCTACACAGAATTTTTCCTGGGCCAGGTGAGAGGGTGGGGAATTAATGCCAGAGTCAAAAGCTTCAGTACTGGTATTCAAACTCATAATCTTCAATTTATCAAGTTGTATGGCAACACCTAATTTGCACACGCATTAGCACACTTGGTCACCCTACCCTAATTTTTTCACACATATCAGAAATATTATTTTCATGGTTGGAATAGGATTTTATAGACTATATTCAGCCCAGATAAATACTTTGTATGTGGGAAATTAAACTCCCAATAGTTATATTCCTATAAAATCTTTATGGTTAAGGGTTAAGCACAATAAAAGATGAGAGAAATCAGGGGTTCCCAATTTAGAGCTCCCGGGCACCACTGTGCCCGTGTGACATCACTCATGCCAGTCTATCTCAAACATTACCTTTATTATCCATCGCTTTGGCAATAGTTTTACTGTTTCCTGCTGCAGGTGGAAAAGTTTTCTTTTAAATGTTGAATATGTATTTTAATAAATATCTAATAATTAACTTTAAGTATGAATGATCACTTTGAAAGTAGTAGTTTATATTGTATTTTTTAAAATAATCATAACTGGTTTACATGGACATGCTGCAGATAGATGAGTTTTCAATTCAATAATTTTATAACTCTTTTTTTTAAATATATGAATGTTTAAAAATCTAACAAGAGTTTACAGATATAAAATTAAAAAATTCTTATTATATATATAATAATTATTATTATTATTTTATCATATTATTTTCAAATGTTAAATGGCAGGTTCAATTTTATAAAGGGCCAAAAGAAAGAAACATTATAGGAAGTTTGAATTTTCTCTTCCAGTGAAAATTATTATCAAACATTCAGTTTTTACAAAGTTCTTTTCAAATTATTACAAACTCTTCCTCATAAAAAATTAAAAAAAAACCTAAGAATCTTAAGACATATTCCTCTGGTTACTTTTTGCACTGTCAATCACAAAATGTTGGTATCTCTTTACCTCTGTTTGGTAAAAATTAGAATATATTTTATTTAGAATTAAAAGAACAAGTATAAATTATTTTCTTTAATATAAAAATGAAAAATTTTTGTCATTAGGCTATTGGTGGTTGTTTGGAAAATGACGAATTTTCGCCATGTGGACGAATACATGATAAGAATTTTTGGTACTTGTTTAATAGCGGGTAGCGACCGACTGCTATCTGCCAATGTTTATAACCTTAACACTGATAATCCTGATAAGCCACTGATAATATCTTCATATTCACATTCCTTGTATTATATTCATATTATTATATCTTCATATTCATATTTATTTATCAATATATATTGTATTGATATTATTGAAATTGTGAACAAAAACAAATGTAATAATAAAAATACTTTTATTTAAAAAGATATATATTAAATAGACCAAAACATTATACATATATAATTAAAAACATTGCAACATATATATAAAAATAAATAAAATAATAAAAATGGGCAAAAAATAGACAAAAATAAATGAAATAATACAAAACCACTTAAACAGCATATGTACATATAAAAGAAACACTATGAAGACCATAAAGAACATATGTACATATAAAAGAAACAAAATACTATAAACAAAATATGAACAATTTTATTTTAACTTAATTTATTTTGGTAGGGAAAATAGTTATATGGTATTTAAAATAGTGAGGAAGAAATCCTCTTCTCTGTGAGCCCGCTGCCACAAAAAATATTTGATGGCCTCTTCTTCTGAAGACGGGAATTCTCACAATGAAACAACATTCATAATTAAATAAGACTAATTCACAGCTCACACAAGGAACAAAAAATAAACAAGAGAATAACTTAGGTTAGAGGAGATAAGGGGGGTTATCTGAAATAAGATTAGATAACAAGAGAGGTTTTGACGCTACCTGCTATCAAACAAGTACCGAATTTTCATTATTATTATTTTTTTTTCATGGCACATATCAAACTAAGATCAGAGCAGGTTGGATTTATTTATATATACAGATAAGCCAAAATTGAAACAGGCAGATCTTTAAACAATACTAATGGTGGTATGGACAGACTTCTCTTATACTCCACTATTCCCTTATTGTCCCTAAATGGCTGAGGTCAGAGTCCATCTCTTAAACTTCCCTTCTACTATAGAGAAAATTTAGGGGAGATAAAGGGCCCTTAATTATTCCCAAAATTCTGCTTTACACTCACTACAACTTATATTTAACTGATAGAAAATGTAATTATTGTGTTATTATTATTAGTTCTGCTATTATTATAATTATTTATTATTATTACGAAATTTGTAATTATTATTACACTTCTACCTAAATAAAATCTACTAAATTAAACTTCTTGTTTCAAACTATTTTCTGAATATTTAAGAGGTAAGTTAAATGCTAAAAAATAAAAAAAATATTTTCTCAAAAAAGCAGAAATTATTCAAAATAAAGACACAAATACAGCTTAAAATACAAAAAAAAAAAAAAAAAAATCACAGAAACAAGTACCTAAAAGCTACTGGTTGCAAGCAGTGCAAAGTTGTACACATTGGAATTGTGATGTTTACAGGCAGACCCCTAATAGATTTATCAACTTCCATTTTGAGTAATTGGATTAACTCATTTATAAAGGTATTTTTGAAGAGTGGTACCTTTTTCTTCTGAATTTAGTATAAAAATATTTTTCAAATGGGTTTTCTATATCCTTAAGCACCTTTTCCAGATCTCCTTCTATAAATAATTCATAAATTCAATTGAATCATCATCCAAAAAAAAAAAAAAAAAATTAGCAATTATTTTACTGATTTGTATTATTTGACTAATCAGCTTCTATTAATTGTAATGGATAATATTCATACCCTCTTTGTTCAGGTTCTATATTAAAACATTATACATCAATGTTTTTAAAAATATTAATATTATTAAATATTAAAAAAAAAAAGCTTTTCTAATTGTAATCAACATAAAAACGCTTATTAACAAAATGGTAATATCATTCTCTATGAATAAAATGAAAGTTAATGTTAATGTCAAATTTGCCAAATGAACACAAAGCCCAAATGTTATATCTACGAAGATAAACCTAATATTTCCATTTTTATTTACTCATTTACACCTTATATCATTTAATTGTTAAATATCAATTGGGTTGTATTAATTTGATAATATTGGGGTATTTTTATTTTGAATAATTTCTGCTTTTTTGAGAAAATTGGTTTTTCTTTTTTAGCTTTTAAATTACCTCTTAAATATTCAGAAAATAGTTTGAAACAAGAAGTTTCATTTCACTAGATTTTATTTAGGTAGAAGTATAATAATAACAAAAATAATAATTTTAGAATTGTAATAATAGCAGAACTAATAATAATAAAACGATAATTACATTTTCTATCAGTTAAATATAAGTTTTGGTGAGTATAAGGGGAGTTTTGGGAATAATAAAACGCCCTTAACCTCTCCTAATTGTCCACTGTAGTTGAACGGAAGTTTAAGGGATGGACTCTGACCTCAGCCATTTAGGGACAATACGGGAATAGTGGAGTATAAGGGACGTCAATGTATAACACCAAGAATGTCATTTACAAAAGGGATAAAGCATAATATAGTTTGACTTATTATACAGTGATGGAAAAAAGTATTTGTACAACACGTTTTTATGAATAAAGTAGTTCAAGGAAACATAAAACTTCGCTTTCCTTTGCAAAAATGAAAAGTAAATTTATTAAAAACTGAAAAAACCTTTTTACAAAAAAATAAAAACACTTCATAATCAAACAACATAATTAAAACAATAAAAGTGCTTGGAAAAAAGTATTTGCACACTTCCACATTTACAAGTTTATTTTAAATTTTAATATTTTGTAAATAGGCCAATTGCGTCAATACTTGCTTGAAGTATGGGCATTGAATGCACTAGGTTTTTAATTAAATCTACGTTTATTTGTTTTCATTCTTGAACAAGTTGTTCAAGTTAAGTTAAGTTTTTTAAGGTGATGTCCACTAGTGATATGGTGTTTTCTTACATTTTGGTCAAGGGTGTGCCATACATTTTCAATGATATTTATATCTGGTGACTGAGGAGGAGTGTGGAGCTGTCTTGGAACATTAAATATTAACCACTCCTTTGTTCTCCTTCCAGTATGTTTCGGATCGCTGTATTGCTGGAAATAGTACTGATCCTGGATTCCCATTTTTTCGGCACTAACATGCAAATTATATCGCAAAATGTTCACATAGCGTTCCGCATTTAAAATGCCTTCGATGCTCACAAAATTTCCCACACCATGGTAGGAAACACACCTCCAAACCATAACATGTCCTCCACCATGCTTTACAGTTGTTAACACATTTTGCTTCTTTAGGGCTTCGTTACAATGTCGCCATATCGTCCTTCGACCATCTGAACCAAACAAATTAAATTTGCTTTCGTCAGAAAAGATGATATTTTCCCAAAAGCTTAAGGGTTTTTGTGATTCATTTCACTGATGTATGGCTTCTTCCTTGGAACTCTACCATGGAGCCCTTCCGAATTCAGGGCATATCTAATTGTTCTGCTAGTAATCTGAACTATCAGAGGATTTTTAAGACCTTCTTTTCTGATTTTCCTCTTCAGCCTAGGAGTTAACTTTTTTGGACGCCCTTTACACTCACTGTTTTCAGTTGAAGCACATTCTTCATACCTTTTTATGACGTATCTCAATGTAGAAAAATTCAACCCTAAGAAATAGGCAATTTGGCGATATGTTGTTTGCTGACTCCTCAGTAAAATAATTTTTTCACGAGTTGGCCTATGGACACAAGAGGATTAATGCCAAAGTAAACAGAGCTTGTGAGTCAGTGTGCAAATATTTTTTTCCAAGCACTTTTATTGTTTTAATTTTTTGTTTCATAATGGAGTGTTGTCATTTTTTTTCCAAAAGGTTTTCACAGTTTTTAACAAATGTACTTTTCATTTTTGCAGAGGAAAGCGAAGTTTTTTGGTTCCTTGAACTCATTTATTCATAAAAACATGATGTGCAAATACTTTTTTCCATTACTGTAGTTTATGACAAGAAGAATAAATCAAGTAATGGAGACTACATAATATTATTTCATTAATTTCAATAATTAAATTAAATAACAATGTCAACTATCTAATACATAACAAAATCCATTTTCAGTTAGACTTTTCTTTTTTTTTTGTAACTTTTTTCATTAGAGTGCTACCAGTGGGTAGTTTCTCAACAAGCGTGTTTCATGTAATAACATTCCTCTGTACAAATTTACTAGATGTATTCATACTAATACAGTTGTAAATATCATAATAAAAGTTTAAAAAAAAAAACTGTTTTCAAATATAAAACAATAGTCATGTTGAAGTAAAACCAATTCTTAGATATTGGGAATATCTCAATTTAAACAACGAGTTTAATTGTGCATATAATGAAACTAAGTTAAAAATTTTGTTTTGAAATATTGATGAAAAATAATAGATTTTTTTTTTCAAAATGTGTAATAGTTTATATAATAAAATTACTTGTCCAATGAACAACAGACTTTTCATTCATTAAACTAATGAAACATGTCCTAAACTAAACTAATTTTATCAATATTTAGACAGATAACCAGATATTGAAGGAAAAAATTTATCAGTAAAACTTTGTTATTAAATTATCAAATAAAAATGAAAATGCCTTTCAAGAAGATATTGAATAAGAGGAAATAACTCCCCTTCCTAAATATTAGAATATCATTAACATAATATGTTTATAGACACATAAACTATTGTAAAAGATGTAATATAGAAAAAATGAGTTGTATCGTTATTTCCAACAAATAAATTAAAAAATTTATTCATATTTACAAATATTTTTAAGTTATAAGACAAATCAATCATAAGTGTAACTGAGACTAAGCATTTTTCTAAAATCCCCTAGTTAAAAACATTCTCAAAATAAATGAATAAATTGAGGCATGAAAAATTTGAAGCATGCTATTAGAAATAATAAAATTTCAGAGAAGTTGGCATAGGTTTTACTAACTTAAAATTATAATTATTGTTTTTTTAAAACTTGATAAATAAGTTATTCATGTGAGTAATACCCCGAATTTTTCAAATATTTTAGTTGTGGGATATGTTTGAAAGTTAAACCTGGAATGATGAAGTAATTATTAATAGTGAGCAACAAACTATAAAACAGTGAAATGTCAATGTCACTCTAGAGTAAGTAGGATGGAGTTTCATGATTTTGTTTGATAAATTCAAAATTTTATTTAAAATTTAAAAATGATCAGAAATTCATTTTCAAATCTTTGATTAATTTTATCACAGAATATATCATTCCAATTTACTAGTAATTATATGAGTATTTCTCAAATTTCAATTCGTCAGCCCCTACAATGGACATACTATTTATATGGAAGAACAGTTTTGTGTTAGAATAATAAATTATGAAATAAACTATTTGCTTCAACAGAAGAAGTTTAGTCAATTCATTTTCAAATCTTGACTTTAAATTGACAAAAAAAATTAAATAAATAATAATGATTGAACCATAAAAGTTATTAAGTCAACAAGATAAAAAAATGCATCAAAATGAAAGCCATGAGCTTCCAAAATTTCATAAAAAACTTTACAAAAGGAATTTTAATTATTTTATAATAACAAATATTTAATCAATTTTATCACAGAATATATCATTCCAATTTACTAGTAATTATATGAGTATTTCTCAAATTTCAATTCGTCAGCCCTCTAAAATGGACATACTATTCATATGGAAGAACAGTTTTGTGTTAGAATAGTAAATCATGAAATAAACTATTTGCTTCAACAGAAAAAGTTTAGTCAATTCATTTTCAAATCTTGACTGTAAATTGACAAAAAAAAAATAAATAAAATAAATAATAATGATTGAACCATAAAAGTTATTAAGTCAACAAGACAAAAAAATGCATCAAAATGAAAGCCATGAGCTTCCAAAATTCCATAAAAAAACTTCACAAAAGGAATTTTAATTATTTTATAATAACAAATCTTTAAATAATTTTATCACAGAATATATCATTCCAATTTACTAGTAATTATATGAGTATTTCTAAAATTTCAGTTCGTCAACCTCTAAAATGGACTTACTACTCATATGGAAGAACAGTTTTGTGGTAGAAAAGTAAATACCTGCAACAAAAATATGAAAGATTATCTATGGAAAATTTTATTTTCAGATAAAATAATACATCTAATATATTTATTTGAAAAGAAATTTATCATTGCATCAATTAATCATGCAAGTTTGCTCATGTATCCAGAGAAGCAGATTGGAAACTACAAAAAATAGAGTACCACAAAAAGGACTTCCTTCACCTACCTTATTTCTCATTTTAATAAATAATATCATCACATAACTACCAAAAAATGTAAAATTCTCTCTATATGCAGATTACTTAGCTTTTTGGAGCCATCCATTCTTACAGCAAAACACAGGATCCAAGCGGACCTAAATTCTAAACACGAATACACGAGGTGAGGCATGAAAAATAATATCCAAAAGGCTAAATATACAGTTTTCAGTCTCTCTGAAAAAGCAAGCAGATCTAAACCGCAAGTAGGACCTCAACAAGGATGACCACCTAACATACCTTGGCATAGTTCTAGACCCATGGCTTTTCTGGAAAAAACAAATAGAATCATCCATAACAAAGCTACAAAGAGAACAGTTCCTATGAAGAAGATTACAGATTCCAATTGAGGATCGGGCCACCAGACATTGAAAACTCTCTACACTGGGTACGTCCAGTCTGTGATCGAATATGGAATCAGCAGCTGAGGAATGGCAGCTCAATCCAACTTCAGAAAAATAACCATAACTCAGAACCAAGGGCTCAATATAATTACTAGAGCTAATAAATCTACTCCAATAAACAAAATAGAAACTGTCACAGGAGTACCTCCTATGTTAGACAGAAGAATCCTGAACTCCTAAAAATAAGCAAGAAAAAACTCCTGAACCTTGAAAAAAAAAGCAAGATCCATACCAAACCATCCACTGCAAAAAAGAATACATGAAGAAAACTGTAACAGGATTAAACCCATCAGTCCATCTCACAAAATGACTGCATTAATCTCAAAACTCAAACTCACTCAATAAACATTGAAATAATTAAAACAACAGACAGATCACCACCTTTGGACTATCTTTCTAAATATCAAGTGTAAGGAGCCCAACGAATCCCAACTAATGAGGTTCCTGGCCTTGAAGATCATAAACGAGGGATACCCCTCTACCTCACAGACTCGGATATACATTGATGGATCAGCTGCTGGTGCTATGGCTAATGGAGGAGCAAGAATATATATATAAAATTACCGGCTTGCAACCCCCTAGATAAAGCCATTCCAACAGATTCCATAAATACAAATTTCAAGGCTGAACAGGAGGCTATAGTAGAGGGCAGCAGAATAAGAAAGTGACTAAAAAGAAATCCAAACACTAATATTGTATTTTTATCAGATGTGGCATTGGTAATTCAGTCTCTCAATTCCAAATGGAAATTTAAACTCCAGACCTTAGCAGAAGAAATAGAAAAACTGCAACTCCAGTACAAAAGAGTAGTACTCCAATGGATACCTGCGGGCTAAATGAAAATGAAATAGCCGCCTAATTGGCAAAGGAAGGAGCTGCATCCCCTCAAACAAGCTGCACTCAAACTGTATAGGAAACCATTTCTATAAATAGGGCTACTATACGACAAAGGTGGAATGATGCCCATCCACATTACAATCCTGAAGACGATTATTATAGGTTGAGCAGGAAAGAGCGAGTTATACTCTTTAGACTCAGAACAGAATACAACAGAATGAGGGCACATCTCTATGAAAAATTTAAAATTGGAGAACACCCTCTCTGTTATTGTAGAACAGGCTACTATAATACAGAGCATGTCCTTCAGCCATGATCTGAGCTGGAGGACATCAGAAAGCTAATTTGGTCAAACCCCACTGACTTGGGGATGAAGCTCTATGGTAGTCTGGGGTATCTCACAAAGACTGTCGAGTTTATACTCTCAATCCCAGACCTCACCATTTGAGGGATGTTCTAAGAAGAAGAATCATTGCTTAAAACAGTTTGACAAACAACACAGAATTCTTTATAGAGAAAATCAACAGGATAGGATAGTTTGTATAGAACTATTAATGGACTATACTGTTGAAGGCAAGATTCTTTAAATTATTTAACTATTTCGCACTTATACTCTTTTTTTATTGCATATTACTTAATACCCTTGATTGTGATTGGATTTTCATGATCACTTACTCTGACTTCACGATGTAATTTATTCTAATTTAGGTTTATTTTAAATTCTGTTTATTGTAAGATATGGTGACAATGATAACTATATTTAAATATTGGGTAAAAAATAAAATTAGAGAATCCAAATGATCACAGTAGGTCCTTGAATAAAAAAACAAAACATCTTATAAAAATGTAGATGAGGTATTAATAAAGAATTCCCAGACTAATGAGGACTCCTTTCTGATATATCATTCCCACCTCAAGATATTTCCTCCTTTATGCAATAGGGTAAAAAAAAAACAGTTGTTGGCACCTCTCCCAGTTTTTGACATCCACTGCAGTAATTGAAGAATATTAAGTGTTGGGGAATGGTCTAGAACTGGAGAAAATCGCTCATTTGATCATTTAAAATCAAATGGTGAAAGGCATTCATTTTAAGTGGGAATCTCTCCTGAGCTTGCATATTCTAGCATTTCTTACTATTTATTTAGTTTTATAGGTAGAAAAAATCGTTGAAGATTAGAAACCCGACAGGTGTCTCCCACAAAGGACTTGTCTTATGTTTCCTTAAGGGTGCTGAAAACTGGGGATTTTACCTTATATTTTTGGAATTGCTTGATGTAATGGACTATGCAACAATGAACAGAATAATTTGTCTCGTTCTATATGGATATGGTACTTTTTAACTACCCATATAACAACATTGCTCAATAAGTACAGGTGCGACAAGATGGCTTGCAGAGCTTATAGCATTCATAATTGGAAAGTGATCATTCAGGAGGTTTTTAATTTTTTTTTATTTAAAAAAAATAAAATTCTCTTTCTGAGATGAAAGGGAAGTTTAGATTCAACATGTTTAATAAAATCACTAGGTCAGTAAATATAATTTAGTGTATGAACAAGAGCAGGCAACTGTTATTATTTGCAGTAATTATGTAGATATATTTTCAATATTTATAAAAGTATGTTAAAAACAAGCACATATACTAAATAGAAATGATTATTGTTGAGTTGGTAGGGTGTAGGGGGAGGAGGGGTACAATTTTGTCATGCTTCAATACAGAGAACCCTTGGTTGTGACACCTTAATGTTAAAAACTGAAGCTTCTAGTATGTTTGCACATTTTCCCCACTCTTTCTCTAGCTTCCTGTTGCTCTCACTTTACACTATTAAAACGAGAGAAGTGTTAACTTACACGCAGTCCACATCAGGTAAATAAGCCAATAAAAAGTTAAAAATAAATGTGAAAAATATAAAGAATTTTATGTTTATACCCTTCACTAGCTAATACTTCTTCAATTTCAACTGGGATTACTAACAAATCATTACAATTAAACCACTTATTATTTGTTCTCCTTATGAAAGCTACATAATGACCTCCACTTAGTGTACCCTTGTGAACTACAACAGCATACAGTGAATACCTATACAGGAAACATAGAAACACTTTTATAATACATAAATATAAATTAGAAATTAATCTAACAGGAGGTTATGAACTGGTCACTGGTTTCCATGAAAATTTGTTTGGTGATACTAGGTCAAAAAATATTAGACCCATGTGCGAGTGCTCTGACAAATATGCCCTAGGAGCTGAGAAAAAATATTTTAAATTAAATTTATGTTGTTAATTTTTGCCTTTCCTTTGAATGGATTTTTAGGTTATTATATAAATTCAATGATTTCAATTCAATCAATCAATGATTAAAGCAATTGATTTATTTTTTTGAAATAGGGAAAAATGTTGACTACGGTATTAAATGATTTATAAAGTATCATAATTAACAAAAACCAAAGGGTGCTTCCAATAAAGAAGGTCAAGTAAATTTTTGCTAAGAAAAAGAAAGTTAGATGCGTTTTTAGTGCTCTTTCAAACTCTTAAATAAAAATTTTTAACAAAAATTTCAAATATTAGTACTTGCTTTTCTTGGAGGATTGATTTTCCGGCCTTTAACTAAAGCATGGATAACTTCTCATCTCCAAATTCAACATCAGTACAATCGTTGGAAAGCTGAATTATTGCTCTTCTAAACTACATCAGTAAGTTTTGGATTTCATTATTTTTTTTAAGCTAGGTATTTAGAAGATCTTCTCAAAAATTTTTATTTTATATTTTGGATTCAAATTTGTTTATGAATCTAACATTCTTTTTCTAAGCAAAAATTTACTTGACCTACTTTACTGGAAGAGCCTTTTTGTTTTTATTAATTAAGATAATTTATAAATTGTTTAATACCATAGTCAATATTTTTTCTTATTTTGAACAGAAAACTAAATCGATTGATATATAATAACCTAAAAATCTGTACAAAGAAAAGGCAACAATAGCATAAATTTTTTTTTAAATTATTTTTTTTTTCAGCTCTTAGGGCGCTTTGGCAAGAACTTTCACACAAGCTTCGAATATTTTTCAATCTAGTATCACCAAAAAAAGTTTAATTGAAACTGGTGACCCCCCTTCCATAACCTCTCCTTGTAAGTTAAACAAAAAAATAATGATAATAAGTCTAAGGTATATTTTAAAATATATTCTCAATCATTACTGTTAATGTTATAGTATTTGGAATTGAATTTTTAACTATTTAGAAAATCTTGTGCTAAAGGTTATAAGAAAGTGCAGCAAACAAGATCTTCCATTTTTTTACTTATTATTTTTGTTTTCTTTGTTTTTTGTAGTTATGCCTCTCTTTATCAGCTTCCACCATTAGAGATATAGCAAACAGCCCAGAACAATCACCAATTAGACTGCATCATATCTCTTATGTTCAGTAAGCAAGAACTTACATTTATAGAAGCTACATCCAAAAGTGCTCCTGAGTTGCATAGATAGCAGAGTAGTGAGTCAACCAATCCTATTGCATGCAGGTATTTCATAAAGTAATTGTGGTCTGTTAGCATGTAAAACCTGCAACAGCTTCTTTTCTCAGTAGGTCTACTAACGGTAGGTACTCGTTTTTCTCCAATAATAACTTTATTGTTTATTTAATAAAAGAGTTAATTCATATAAATAATATATATGAGTTGAATTAAAAGAACATGAAACAGAAATGAAAGTATTGAATTGTTGACAAATAGATCTAAACTACAAAACAAAATTGGCTTATCACTTAATAACTTCCATACTTTATATTTAAAAAGTCCAAGTTTTTATATTTTTCAAAAAACTTATGAATCTTTTTATTACAGCATAAAAGAATATTTTATAATTCTTTCAGGGTGTTCTCTGACTCTATGAGTGTTGTGAACTAAGTTTTGAGCTCTAATTTATCTTCTTAATGTATTACAAATGGTTTGTCATAAGAATAGACTGGTAGAACTTTTTAACAAATAGCGAACATCTTGTTCCATGAAGTCGTTCCAAACTTATAGCAATAAAAAAACCAACCTAATAGATGAATATTTTTAAAGAAATATTATGTTAGGTACAGCATTACTCTGGAAATTCACTGAAAACCAACTTCATAATTCCAGAACAAATCTAACTCATTAATGAAAATAATGGTATATTTCAATAATGAGATGAACCAAAATTCTGAATAAATGAAATGAAACATAAAAAATGAAGACATATTCAGATGAAATTATCAATATCTGAAAAGATGAACATAATATATCAAATGTATACTTGAAACAAATATAATAGACAAATAAATGAAACATGCAGTAAACAGCCTGATAAACAAAAAGTCCTTAGTCGTCATTTAAGCAAAGGCATAACACATCACCAGTGCTAATATAAGATTAACTAAAGATAAACAACCTTTAGGAGAGAAAAATAAATATTAGACAAGAGTCTCAACTTGCATGATCCTGAAGAAAGATTGATTTGAAGTTGCGGTTTTATCTTTTCAATAATTCAAATCTATGTATCTCAAAATTGAGAAGCCTAAGTTGCTTGCTACCTTTCAGGATATTTAAATACCATAAACGTTCACAGTTCTTAAAATGGTTGATGGAAGATGTCAAATTTACTATAAATGTCCAGACAGATATGTTACCTGAAGATAAACAGCATAGCTCTTTATCAGGAAAAGCAAATTAATCATCCATATGCTAGAATAAGGCCATGCAAAATTGATAATATAGCATTTCCAAGTCAATTTCAACCTTTTCCAAGTCAAATTCAACCTTTTCCAAATCAAATTAAACTTTTTCCAAGTCAAATTCAACCTTTTCCATTTCAAATTAAATCTTTTCCATTTCAAATTCAACCTTTTTTTATTTATTTAATTATCTTTAATTTTTCGATGCGTGGGTCTGTTATCGTATGAGTAGTTTTTTTAAATAACCTCCTTTTTAAGATTACGTGACTGCGTTTCGAATTATTTAAGTTTTTTTGACTTATTCGATATAAGGGTGTATTTTTATGTTTCCCGATCAGTAAATTTTTTAAATGACATCTATTTTATGTTTATGCCACTGTGTTTTGATTTATTTAAGTTTTTAGAATTTATCCAATATAAAGGTCTACTTTTTTGTTTCCGGAGCCGTAGATTTTGAAAACGACCTCCATTTTAAGATTAGGCCACCGCGTTTCGACTTATTTGAGTTTTTCGGATATTTTTCATATGAGGGTGTATTTTTATGTATCCGGAGCTGTAGATTTTGAAAATGACCTCCATTTTAAGATTAGGCCACCGCGTTTCGACTTATTTGAGTTTTTCGGATATTTTTCATATGAGGGTGTATTTTTATGTATCCAGAGCTGTAGATTTTGAAAATGACCTCCATTTTAAGATTAGGCCACCGCATTTCGACTTATTTGAGTTTTTCGGATATTTTTAATATGAGGGTGTATTTTTATGTTTCCGGAGCTGTAGATTTTGAAAATGACCTCCATTTTATGATTACGCCACTGCGTTTTGACTTATTTAAGTTTTTCGAATTTATCCATTATTAAGGTCTACTTTTATGTTTCTTGAGCCGTAGATTTTGAAAATGACATCCATTTAATGATGACGCCATTGCATTTTGACTTATTTAAGTTTTTCGAATTTATCCAATTTAAAGGTCTACTTTTATGTTTTCGGAACCGTAGATTCTGAAAATGACGTCTATTTTATGATTACGCAACTGCGTTTCAACTTATTTAAATTTTTAGAATTTAACAAGTATAAAGGTCTGACTTTATGTTTCTGGAGCAGTAGATTTCCCCCATTTTGTAAATGACCCAATTTAAAGTTTATGCCACTGTTTTGGATTATAAAAGTTTTTTATAAGCTTTTTCGGTATAAGGATCTACTTATATGTTATCCGAGACATATTGAAATTTTTCTAATCTTTAATATTTAAATTTATCTAATATTTAAGCTCCATTTTATGATTAAGCCGCTGCATCTTGATTAATTAGGCTTCATTTTGGATTCTTTCAATACAAAGTTTCATCAATATGTTTTCGAGTATGAATAAATAAATAAATATTATGAAGCTAAAGTAAAATTAACCACATAATACAAACTAAAAAGCCGAAAAGCAACTGGTAATAAATTTAACCTTCCGTATTCAGATTTTTCAGCTAATTGTTCGAAATCTTATAATTTTGTGATAGGAGACCACAAAATTAAAAAAGATAACTAAAATTAAATTAAAAATGAGACAATACATATTTTATTTATTTTGATTAGATATTTTTATTTATTTATTGAAAAATAAATTAATCCTTCGTATTATGTTTTTTATTCGAAGGAAAAAGCAAAAACACTTAACAAAACCGAAACACAGTGGCCTAATCTTAAAATGTAAGTCGTTTTAAAAACTAAGGCTCCGGCATCATAAAAGTAGACCTTTAAATTGGATAAATTCGAAAAACTTGAATAAGACGAAACGCAGTGGCGTAATCTTAAAATGGAGATCATTTTCAAAATCTACGCCTACGGAATCATAAGAATACACTCTTTTATGATAAAAATTCGAAACACTTAAAGAAATCGAAACGCAGTGGCGTAATCTTAAAATGGAGATCATTTTCAAAATCTACGCCTACGGAATCATAAGAATACACTCTTTTATGATAAAAATTCGAAACACTTAAAGAAATCGAAATGCGGTGGCCTAATCTTAAAATGGAGGTCGTTTTCAAAATCTACGGCTTCGGAAACATAAGAATACATCCTCATATGAAAAAAATCCGAAAAACTCAAAGAAATTGAAATGCGGTGGCCTAATCTTAAAATGAAGGTCGTTTTCAAAATCTACGGCTCCTGAAACATAAAAGTAGACCTTTATATTGGATAAATTCTAAAAACTTAAATAAGTCAAAACACAGTGGCGTAAACATAAAATGGATGTCATTTTCAAAATTTACTGATCGGAAAACATAAAAATACACCCACATATCGAATTTGTCAAAAAAACTTAAATGATTCGAAACGCAGTCACGTAATCTTAAAATGGAGGTTATTTTCAAAACTAGGTACAGCACAGCATAATACTAGTCCCTAAGAAATCCGAATAGGTACAATAAATCGATATCCGTAAGTGAAAATTCTACTTAGGAGAGCATAATAATAGACTTTCATATTGGAGGCAGGGAGGGGATGGCCATTATTTAAAAAAAAAATATAATATTTACAAAAACTTAAAACATTAATTTGAAATGAAAACGGTTGAATTTGAATTGGAAAAGGTTTAATTTGAAATGGAAATGGTTGAATTGACTTGGAAAAAGTTTAATTTGATTTGGAAAAGGTTGAATTTGACTTGGAAAAGGTTGAATTTGACTTGGAAATAATTGAATATCACATAGAAATATCACACTGAAAAAATCTAAAATGTTAAAATAAATGGATATGCAACTGCGTAATCAAATTTTTTTTTGTATTTTTTAAAAGCTATGCCGTCGATAATATAGTAAGTGGCCTTCATTTCGAAAAAAATCGAAAATTGACAAAAATTCTAAAGTTGAATATGAAATGGAAAAGGTTGAATTTGACTTGGAAAAGGTTGAATTTGAAATGGAAAAGGTTTAATTTGACTTGGAAAAGGTTGAATTTGATTTGGAAAAGGTTGAAATTGACTTGGAAATGCTATATATCTATATGAATAGATGTTTTTCTAATATTTTTAAAAGGATGGGATTGCAGTTACTATCAAAGGCCAATGATATTAACATTATTACCAGATCTCCCAAGGCACTAAAGAAAGCATTTTTAGATAATGTGCAAACAAATCTGAAAATGGACCTGGTAATTAAATATGTTTAGAGTAAATTCTAATAGTTATGTTTCACTTCAGTCAGTTTGGAGATATGTAGGCTACATATCAACATTAATCTGAGGGCAAAAGGCAGCTATATTTACATCAGAATGTATTGCATAAGTCTGGATTTCAGTCTAAGGGATGATGCGCCTAAGGGTCTGAATGAAGCGGAAAACTGGAGTTTATACCCTCACAGAAAATTAATTTCCTCAACAAGTGATGGAGCAGAACTACCCATATTACAAAGATTTTGAGTAGGGGTGGAAAGCTCCTCTGGCCCCAGCACACTTCAATCTTGGAAGAAGAGAACTAACTCCAGGAAGGCCACTAGAATGACAGAACTACTTTCTACCCAAAGGCCCTTAGAAGAAAAGACTGTTTTTGGTGTGTTTAAAATCTTGTATGTTTAATAATAGGGATGGCATACTCATAGTGATATCCCTGCAAAACCTGCATACCCATAAAGCAAGGCAGGGAACAATAAATAATAAATCTACGGAATGATATTTGAGTTCCTATGTTGAAAGCAACTGCAACTTTAACTGCTAGTAACTGGTAATGAAATTTTGTAAAGTATTTTTTATTAAATTCATCTATTACTTCTACTTGCAGTCCATAATGAAGTAGACTATTTCTTCCAAAGCAAGGGAAATTAACTACAGTTCTCAGAATTTTATTTTAAAAGCTTGTAATTTTGTTTGTTCCATGTATGATGTTGCACCTCATACTTTACAACCAGTAATTACTTAATATTATTTTTTAAATTAAGACGGTTGTATTTGATTTATGGACTATATTTCCTGTTGATGATGAGATATAACATAGTAAGCCTTGCATAAGTGTGCATTAGTTCATGGGGTAATTCTAGGTAAGATGACTATCTAGATTAACATATAGGTATTTTACTGCTTTGGTGGGGAGAGAGGAAAATTCCATGGCAACTTGTCATGGGTCTCTTGGGCATCTAAAATTAAGAGTTTTAGCATTACATTTTTCAACATTGTGACGAATCATCCATTTAATAAAATATTACACTAAATCATTGATTTAAGTTTAAAGAATATTTCTAGCTTTTATTATGGTTTGATTAAGATAAAAACTGCCGTGCTGTCAGTAAACATAGCAATAGAGATAAATGTGAACTGTATGATGTTATGCAGATAAAAATTGAAAGAGGGTGGGTGAAATAACTGAACTTGAGGAATTCCAGCATGAATTTGTCTCATGGTTGAGTTTATTTTATTTATTTAACTATAAATTTCCGGTTGTTTATAAAACAATGCAGAATATCATACAAGTATTTTGGAATATATACTTTCTTGAATTTATATAGGGACCACAAAGACAAACCTTGTCAAATCTTTGTTGAAAATCAATAAATTAACCAATCTGCTTAGTTTTTTATTTTTATTTTAAAGCCACTTAATGCAAATTCTGACAATCTTGAGAGTTGATGTGGTGTGACATAACTAATTTGAAAGCTAAATTGAATGTTTGAAATAATATCAATATTTTTAAAAAAGGAAGAAAGGTGCCTTGTTATTAATGATTTTTAATAGTTTTCCTACAATTGGTAATAAGCTTGTAGGCCTGTAGTTACTAGCTTGTTTAGCGTTTTTATCTGGCATTCTCCAAAGAATCAGGAAATTATCCAATAACTAGATGACTATAAAAATTGAAGCAGTTAGAGCAACAGCTTCACTGGGTAATTCTTTAATGGACATAATTAGAATCAAATTATGACCAGACATTTTTTTTTGTATTATGCCTCCTAATCAGAGCTTGAATTTTTTTGGGATTGTGAATTTGATTTAAAGTACTAGTGTTTGGTAATTTAAAACAATTGTCTATATATCATCATTTGATGTGCTGTTTTCTAATCAGGGTATCAATACAATACCTCTCTCTCGTGCTTATTGTATTAGAAAATGTTTTCTCCAAATAATCTGTAAAGGCTTGAGCTTTCCTATGTCACTGGTAGTGTATGCCCTGTTCCTTATTAGGCTTGGGAGTTTCTCACATTTTTTTTAAAAGCTATCTTGTAGTCTTACATAGTCATTAATGTTTTGGATCCAAGTTAGCAATATAATTTTTATACTGCGATATTGTTAATTCCTCTAATTCTTTTATGATACAGGTCTAGCGATAGGAGATAAGAGGTTCCATTTACTTTTATTCCAGATTTTATATATATACATATATCACATTGGATATATTGTAATGTAAATATTACATAATGATTTTAAATAGTGGCACGAAAGCAGTGACATCATGAACTACTGTCAAAAATGGACATAGAAGCGGAGAAAGACAGATGGAAGGGGAAACAAGTGCCACATGTTGAACATTGAGGAGAAAGAGACAGGTTGACAACAAGCAGTGAGGGTCTAGACAAAGACAAGAAAATAGAATATTTGTAGAAGTTGAATACAACAATACCTTCAACAACAATTGGAGGCAGATTCACTGCAGAACAGGGTGAGTGCAAAATTAAATAATGACAATTAGAAAGCACGCCAAGAGTAGACCCCGATAAAACTGAATGGAAATTTATAAATATTTCATAGAAAATTAACATATGCTTTTAGATTATATAATTGAGGAATGTGTGTTTATTGTCTCAACCCAACCTGAGAAATAATCTGTAATAATTTAATAAAATAAAATAATTTGGTACAGAAACTGGTTGTTTACATATAAACCAGATAAATTAAAATAAGGATTAATATTGATTCTAAACGTAGTTTCCTTTAATATGTGAATTTTGTGTAAAATGACTTTAAGCAACTATAATGTATGGAAAATAATGACAAGAAAAGATAAAAAGTTAACTGATAGTTTTTTTTTTCAATAAGAATTTCAATTGAAAGAGTTAATTTTTGATCAAACTTTAAACAAACTTATTTAATCCATTGATTAATATTGCAAAAATAATTTTATATTAAAACTTGGAAATTCAAAATCTAAACATAATATCATGACATACCTATAGTCACCATGATCATTACTTTGAACATAAGAACTGTATTTATAAAGATTTTTCTTTTCAATATTGTTTCTTACTCCACTTAAAAATGGATACATATCTATATCAATAGGAAACGGAACGTAAGTACATTTCTTTTGGTACTTAAATTTCACCTGCTCAAATCTCTGAAAAAAAAAATAGAAAAAGAACTTTATCTATATTACTTTAGTATTATTTAAATAGATAATTTAAAATTTTAAACTTAAATATATTCAGAAATTACCAAGCAATTTATTCAGGTTTATTTAGAATGAAAACTTTTAGATGGTATTACAGTCAGAATAAAACAACCATAAATTAATACTTAAAATATTTAAAAAATGGTAGTATTAACATTTAACATCATTATGGTAGTAAATAAAATCATTAAATATTTTAAAAGTACATAATGATAGAAAACTGTATGGAGTAAGAAGTTGATGCTTAAAAATGTTTGCATCATTTTACTTGAGAAAGTATTACAGGATATCAGTATTTTACTTAAGAAGGTATTATTTGATAAAATCAGAAAATTTTATTAATTAACTATTGTCTATCTAAAAGTAAATCTAAAAAACTCTTTAAATTAATTCAGAAATTTTGTCTGATAAAAGAGTCAGAGAAATGAAATAACACACAATAATAATAATAATAAAGGTTGTTTTTTTATAGAGGAAAGAGTGGCAGTCATAAAAAACTAAAAATAGTGAATTTTATTTTAAGCCATGTTTCGACCCAACTATGGAGGTCTTCATCAGAGCTAGAACGGATAAGAAACAAAAGGATATAGAAAATTGTGGGAATTACATGATATTTTCATGGTTATGGACCGTGGCAAGGATGTCAATATTTTCACAATCAAAAGATTGATGGTCAAGCATGTTCTGATAATTTGGAAGCAGAAGGGTTTCCGGAAGCCGTGGATGTTTTCTGTTGGGAGATATGGGTTTTGAGATGGTTTTTAGTTTCACCAATATAAGAACTACTGCAATTAGATGTAGAGCAAGATATCTGGCAAACTAGATTAGATTGGTGTTGTAAGAGTATGGGATCTTTCAAATTGGTGAAAAGGTAAGAGAGATTGTTATGGGACTTAAGGACGAGATGTAATTTTGAAGTAGTAGATTTTAAGTATTTTTGTATGTTATCTGACAAAATAGGAATATAGGAGAGAATTGTATAAGAAAGAGATGGTTGGTGATTGTGGATTGTTGAGAGCGGTGGAGGCTGCAAATTTTTGGGTTCTTTAGATGTTTAAGATTTTTTTGTTAAAGATAGTGTTGTTTGTTAGTAAGGTTCTGGTGAAATTTGAAGAATTTATCTGGGCCAATGAGATATTGAGGTCAAGATGTAGGGTTTTATTGCTTGCATAGAATGGTTAATTGACTATTGTTTATAGGACTTTGGACTGGAAAGATTGGATGCATTTGATGTTAGAAAATTTTGTTGTCCCATACAGTTCAAGTCAGTAGGTCTACATAGATTTTGGTATTATAATTAATATACTATAATTAATAGTTCATTTTCCATTGAAATATGAGATGTTTTGTTTGGTAGGCTATATAACTTGGCCAAATGGTTGATAAAGCTCTTGTATTTTCAGTCTAGTATGTAAGTTTCATGACAGTATTTTGTCTAGAAGAAAGCCAAGGCAACACTGATACTGCCAAGATACAACTGTATCTGAAAAAAAAATGGTATGGAGTTGAAATGGATTGGGGGACAGGATCTGCATTGGAGGGTGAAAGCGACATGCTTACATCTTGATTTATTGACTTTGATGCATCAATTTTTGCACCATTGTTCAATCCAGGTTAGGTGCCTTGTGGTTTGAGGATGCCATTTCAGGCTTGGGCTGGGATAAGGTGGCAGTATCACCAACAAAGGATTGATAGGAATATAAACCGTAAATAAATTGTTAAGGACAGGATCCAAGATGCTGCCTTGTGGAACACCAGTCCCAACTGGGCAGGATTTGGCTGTACCACAGAATTTTATCCTAATAAATAAATAAGTTTTGTTTTGAGTTTTTAGACTATAGAATAATACCTTCAACTGTATAACTATAATAAGAGGCAATAACTTAAACGTAAGTTGTTTTGTCCCTTCTTGGTAACTATTGCAAGCACTACAGTTTATTTTTCCATCTGAGCCCAGAGGTTCTGGTCTTGTAAAATGGTATAAACACTCTAAAAGACCTTCTGATGGGGGTTCAGGTATATCCAATGAAATTTCCCACAGAGGATCTATTTTCGTAGAAATGTTCCTGAAGAATTAAAAAAAAATATAGATGTATATAAAATAAAATAAAATATTCTTTAAGAAACAATATATAAGATACTTATTTTTTTAAAATGTGCTATGTTTTTATTATGATTGATATATGAAGCTATTAGATAAATAAAATTTACATTCAGACGTGTCCAGACAGTTGAAAGTATTTATTTATAGAACACAGTAAATATATTTCTATTTTGAATATGGCTGCATAACCAAGAGATTTTAGGGACAAACAACGATCAGAACAATTCTGATCAAAATATTTATGCCCAACATTCTGAATCAGGACTTCTCATTTCTTTTATTTCCTGAGAAACCCTTTTTGTTTACCTATATAAGGCCTATAAATGAATTTCTCTATTCGTACCCTTACTTCCCAGGAAGATCTGTAGATTAATCCCTCTGCATATCATTACCTCACCTTTAGCAATGTTTAAAGACTGATTTCTTAGGTCATTTTCTTATCTAAACAAGATTACCCACCCAACAGTACTACGCTTATCTTCACTAGTTTATAGACATTAAAACACACAATAAATAAAATATAAATAATTGTTCTACATCATAGAGCAACGTTAACTTCAGAAATTTTAGTAAAATAGATATTTAAAATTATACTAGCTAAACCCAACTTTGATCAATCTAAACCTTTAAGAAAAATATATTTTGATAAATAAATAAGAATAAATGGGTGATTCTGAAACTCAAAACAAGTTGAAGAAAGGAACTAGTCTGACAAGTGGACCTTTTTCCCTACTCCTTAGAGCTACCAAGAGGTCACATACTAGAGTGGAAGTGTCAAAATTGACTTTTTGGGGCCATCATGAAACAAATATTAATTGACTCATGTGAGAATTGAAACCACAACGTTCTGAGCCAGGCAATCAATGACTCTTGCCTCAATGTGCATGGCCATCACATCCTCTACTTGACATTTAACTTATACTATTGTCTTTCAGTTCATTTTTTTTTTAATATTCTATTAACAGTAACTTTCTGCATTAGACTTTATAGAAAAACTGGAGCTTTTAATAATTTAACAAAAATTATGACAAACCTCAAAAAATATAACCTCCATAGCTCTTCCAGTTCGTTTTTCAATACTTTTCATTATAGGAAATAAATCAGTGGGCCATAAATACAGAGCAAGTTTTTTCTCCTTAAAGTTTAATATTAGTAGCATCTTTTATATTCTTGTGCAACAATTTGAGTTAGACCTTCATGGTCAATTTTGAAAGTGTAATTGAAAAGTGACTGAAGGAAATTTCATGAGGAAGTGAAGACTAACATTGTATCAACACTCCTTGTTCTAGAAGACCTTTCATGTTCCTAAGGATGTGACAGTAAAGGTATAGCAGTGACAAGTCACCTAATCTCAGTTTGTAACAATTGGGACCTTGCAAAACTCTTTTGAACATAAGGACTTCTGCTACTCTGTCACCCTTTACAGTCATAATCATAAGACTGTAGCAACTCGAGCTTTTTACAATATTCCTGGTCACAGTAATAATAATTTTTCCTCACTCTGTTGTGTCACAGCAGCTAGCCACTATCCCTTCCTTCACTTTCCTCTCTTAGCTATCTTTCTCAATTAAACATTTAAAAAACACCAATTTCAGTAATACTAACAGCAATAATAGCATAAGATAATTTTTCATTAAGAACATTTTTTGGAAAACGATATTTTATTTTTAGGGATGTTCATAAAAACAACAATATTTGCAATACATATGTATTTATTTATTCAGAAAGTTAAAAAAAAAATTACATAACAGAGAGGTTCAATATAATGAGACAAAATTAATTAATACAGGGCAAACCTAGTCACATATAAAATAATTAATACATAGATTAATTAATTTAAATTTGAAATACCATACAATTTAATATAATATCAAACTTAATAAACAGGTAAGGTAAAGATAAAAATAAAATGAAAAATAGGTTAAAAAAGTAAACAATAAAAAAAAAAGTTGAAGGATTATTATTGTCCAGTACAATTACATTAATTATAAACTGACATTAAAAAAGAATTAGTATTCTACAATGATGAAGGCCAGCTTTAGGGAAAATCTGTGAACAAGAAATGGAAATTGCAACATCACATGTCTATTCTTCAATAGTATTTTACTGGATTCATTTCCAGATATTATTAATCTTTGTCCACACAAGATTGTAATTCTAATATTGCATGGCTTCCACTGGTAAGCCAAGCAAATCAATTTGAATAAATTATGTGAATTCATCAGAAAAATAAGTTGAAATGTATTACACCTACATATAAGAAATTAGTATAACTACTTTAGTTTTTCATAAAATTGGCAACTACTAATTAATTTTTAGTTTTAATTTTATGGAAACTGAAAAAATAATTTATTTTTATACTTTAATTATAACATTATATTACTTATCTTTACCCAAGTTATCTTATTTCTCAAAAATAAATTGTTATTCAAAATTATTTTAATATTATACATGACATCATTAAAGTTATTCTGCAATTTTTAGTACTCCTCTAATCATTTAAATCTTATGTTTTATTATGTTATTTATATTTATTTTAAGTTATACTTACGCATTTTTTCTGGTAGGAACTACTTTTCTTAAAAGAATTTTGTTCCAGATATTCATAATTAGGGTAGCGTATTCTTTGTTATCTTCTCCTGTTGCTAGTTTTGGATTCAGCACTGTAATATCTTAAAATTCTTTCTGAATTAAATAATCCTTTATTTTGCACAATCAGCTTCAGTTCACTCATAAAAACCAGATAAAAATAGCGCACCAGAAAACAAGTCACTTTGTTCAATTCTACTCTGTGTTAGTAATCTCACTTAATAGTAAGCTTAGTATTATCAATAACTTTTGATCAATAAACAGTTTCTCTAGGCATACAATGAACTCGCTTACCAATACTATCGGATGTCAAACTGGAGGTAATATTTGAGAATTCAAAAACAGTCAATGTTTTTAACATTTGTTTGAAAGATTGTGCATACATTTTTTAATAGCTAGCATTCCTTTTCTATACAGAAGGGTCAGCAATTATGAATGGAATAGCTGTTTAAATGGAAATTTCTAGTTCAATCAGAAAATTAATCATGTCCAGAACAGAATTCTTTTGAACTGGTATTATAATTTTCAGTTTCCTCACAGAGTATTGGTATGTTTTAAATGTTTTAAATGCCAAGTTTCAACTACCATTTAGTAGAACTTGAAAAGTGCTTCACAATTTTTAACTGTTTCCAACAAGCCCTAAATGTTTTCTGTACTTTGGCTTTCTCGACAATTAAATACAGCTTTTGAGCTGTGCAACCCATATGCTACAAGTACAGAATATTTTTCAAGGTTTCAGAAATATCATAGGTATTGCAAGAAACAGCTAAAATAATTTTATTTGTTTTTTCCATTCCATCAGTAATACCTTAAATTACTTTTGCCAAAATGTTGCTCATTGTATGACAATGGAAGCTTACCTTCAGAAAGAAATATGCTGCTTTATGATGTCCAACAATCAGTGATAATTGTTATTTATCTAACTTTCCGTAACAATATTTTTAATTCATCTATTCAAATTATCAAATTATCAGTAGAGGTTTTTTTTTTAATGTGAAAAGTTTAAATACAGCAATAAATTATATGAATCTGCCTTCTACCATATAAAAGGCTGTAAATCATTGATTCATAAGAACACCTGTATTTCATCTATCAATCTATTTAGATTTTTTGTCATTTAATTGCAATAAACAGTCATTTTAGCATGTGCAGGCCAGTTCAAAAACCAATACAGAGAAAATGTTAGTGCATCTGACAGATGCAGAGAATGTTCCGGCACCCCAGAGAAATATGGTTGCTCAAGGGTATGATTGGTAGCAGCCAATGAGTTTTGAATCTCAAAATTTAACATTAGGGATTATAGTGGGATGGTTGTAAGCCCTATGTTTTGTGAGATTAAAAGACGTTTTTGACTGATCTTGTTTATATTATTTTTCAAAAACTGTACCCACTAGTTCAAATTGATCCCATATAAAACTTTTATTCCTTTGATTTTGGTTTGATGACGACCTGTTAAAAAAAAAAAGTATATTATATAAGGTATTTTCTTAGCTATATTTTTCCATAAAAATTTATTTTGTTAATTGCACAGCATTCTTTTCACACATACATAACATAACACGAAATGGTTGTCATAGAAATTTCAAGTATGGCTAAGCTATAAGGAAAGGTCAAATATATAGGCTGATCATGAGCAAAAGAATTATAAAGAGTGTTTCCAAATGGAAAAAAATAAATTATCATGACTATATACTATAAACATTTCTTAAGGAAACAGAGTGAGAAGACAAGATCTGACAGAGTAACCTCCTAGGATAATTAAAATATAGATTTAACAATGGGAAAATAATTGGATATCCAAATACTGTTTTATGACCAGTCCACCTGAAAACACTGGCATTTTACTTTTTAAATTTAATTTTGCTAAAATTTATGAGGCCTAAATTACTCTTAGTTCCAGAATCACCCATACCACAAATTTATTTCACACTTTAGCCTATCCAGAACACTAGCCTATCATTTCATGTAAATAAAAATAAAACAAATGCTTTACATAAAATGAGGTTTAATAAAACAATAGTAGTTGAAAGCAACGTGATACACGATAATAATATAGGGAAACATCTTTTAAGCAATACAACAAATTGAAATAATAAAGATATAAAAAACAAAGTATATATTTGCTAAAATCTATTAAGAGCAGGTAACTAGAGTGATAAACCTGCAAGTGTGAGTTACCAAAAAACAAAAGTAATGAATTCATGAAAACATATTTCATATTGTAAAACATATACTAACAGAAAATATATACTTACAAGCAGTTCTGACATACAACATCAGATTGCAATTTTCCATGAAATATTGAGTCTATTATATTATTAAATGAACCTTGAGAATGAATTGGTGGTGACGAAACTTTGTGCAATAAATTTCTTGCAGAAATGAAAAATTCATGAGCATCTTTTTGGTTATTGCCACATAGATTTATGTCATGTTTCCAAACAAGGAATAATATGTCATGCAAGCAAAGAGTGGTTGAATCACCCTCAGCATAATACTGAAAAACATAAGTTTTATAGAATGTTTAGTATTATTTTGAGAGTTAAAAACACATGCTTATGTGCATTGAACTAAAATGAATTATGAAATTAATCAGTTTTACTAACCCTTTGATAAATTTTTGACATAAGACAGAATAGGCATTCAGTTGATGTTTTAGCAAAACATATATGTTTATCAGTGAAGAAATAATCTCGCAACATTGGAGTATGTAAAAATGCCTGAATTATGCAATTCATGAAACAAGTATTTCCAAGGTTTATGATTCCCTTCATTCCTATGCAATTATCACATCATTAATACAACAATAATGGAATATTTTTAATAATAAATATCAATATTATAACAGCAAAAGTGAATTTTTAATGATTGCCACCACTCAAATAAAACATAAATGTATATCTATGTTAACTTTAAATGAGTGCAAGTTAATATCTAAGGATGATAGAAAGTCATGTATATGTTTAAAAGATAATAAAATTCTCTACAGAGGAAAAAAAACAGTCGATCTGAAAATGGCCGCAACTACAGTTTAATGCTTGCATCGCTCTGTCTTTGTCTCCTTCTCAACTGGCTAATTCTGCAAATACTGCTGCTATAATTTGTGAACAGTGAGCTTTTGTACATTTAAACATTTTCACATTAAATAGTGAGGTGAGAGATATTTATTAACAATTATGTTTAATAGTTAATTGATACTAGTTAGGTAGAGACAGCACAGCTGGTCGGTAATTCCCTTTATGGGTCTTGCCCTATCTACGTAAGATTCACGGCCAAGGCTCTATTTACTAACACAACTTCCTTCGAATGATATCGAGTTCGTATCGAAACTGATAAACTTTTTTTTTTTTTTTTTTCCTTTTTTCTTCTCTCTTTATTCTATTTGTTTATTTTACTCTAGACTTTTACTTTGGTTTAATTATGTATATTGCGAACTTTTCTTATTTTAATTGTAAATAGTGTAAATAGCTTAGTTTTAAGAATTTATTATGTAAATTTTTTTTTATTTATTTTTTTTTTAGTGTTATAACAGGTACAGTTTTTATTTATTTTTTTTTTTATCTCATCATGGAACCTGACAATACGTCTGGTGAAGAATCGGAGGAAGATACACCATTTTCTGAGGTCAGTGAGACCGATTCACAATATTTAAAAAGGTCTCTTCAAAAGCGCAATCGAAACTCTGCCCCGGGATCAGCAGGTAACTCACCAAACAAGAAAAAAAATAAATCGGCCAAATCAAAAAAGACATGTGAAACAAACAAAACTACACCAAACACGCGTAGCAAAACCACTTCAGCCATCAAATCAGAATCAATTTCACCAATCACCTCAATCAGTAACTCTGTTACAGCCAACAATACTACAAACAAGATTCTTGAGCCAAAAGAAACTTGTGATCTTGAACCGCCACCCATCTTTGTCACAAAAATTGAAAATTTTATGTCCTTCGGACAAGAAATCGCTGATCTTATTGGGCAGCCAAATTTTACATGTTTTTCCAGAGTCAATGATATTAAAATAAATACCAACTCTAAAGAAAATTACAAAATATTAATTGAACATTTTACTTCACGAAAATAATATTTCCATTGTTACCAGCTGAGACAGGAAAAATCATACAGAGTCGTATTAAGAGGGCTTCATCCAACTACTTCTATAAGCGCAATCAAAATGGGTTTGGAAGAAATAGGCCATAGCTTAAGGAACATAGCTACCGTGCTTCATCCTAAGGAAAAATACCCACTACCACTATTTTTCATAGATCTCGAACCTGCAAAAAACAATCCGGAAATATTTAACGTAAAGCGTCTTATATACTCAATAGACCATTTTGAAGAGCCCAGACAAAGACCTATAGTAGTGCAATGCAAAAACTGTCAAAATTTGGGACACACAAAAGCCTACTGCCAATATTCCAGCAGTGCATCATCCACTGAGCCTACTTCCATGCTGACCTGTCCCTGCAGTATGCTATCTTCAATGACCACCCCCATGTCAACTGCCGTAGCAATCGTTATCATTAAGGGCTAATTGGTGTCTTTATTACATAATTTTAATCCAAATCTTGAGAAGTGAAATTTTTATTTTTCTACTACATTGGTGCAGTATTGCCTAAAATTTGGCTTTTCGCAATAACTAAATCAGTACACCAGAAAGAAAAAAGAGACTGTCAGAGTTCAATGTGTTCAAAGTGTTTTAGATAATGACCCACTTCCTTTTACAAGAAGACATGTTGTCAGTTTTCAATTCATGTTTCATGCAAAATCATCATCAAATACATAGTGTTGAGTTATAATAAAATCAAAAAGTGAAGAAAAAAAATTAGAAGTTGACAATACAAGAGACAACAATGAAGAACTGAATGCTTATATTAAATATTTAAGAGATGTAGTAGTAAATACATATTTGAGCAATACCTATTGAGGTAGTTGGATCAACTTTTACTCTCTTACAATGCTCTTTTAGTAACTTGCATTCGTATGCAGTAGGTTTCCAAATAACATACTGTCTTCTACTGAATTCATCACATTTCTTAATTATCTCATCCACTTCAGCATCATAAATAAAATCCTCACATATCATGCAAAATACATTTCCACTTGGAATTTCAACAACTAAAAAAAAAAATAATAAAATAAATAAATAAAGGCAACTTATAACTACTTTATTTATAATCATATTGTAATATTAATGTAATTAACATGCATTCAGAATTGTAATAGTTTGCATATTAGATTTTAAATTAATTTTATTATAAACCTATAGGTTAACATTACATTAGATTTTGAAGGTAGATAATGATAAAACCTGTAATATTAGTAAAATTTATTTGCATATATATATATATATATATATATATATATATATATATATTTATGTGTGTGTGTGTGTGTATGTATGTTCATAGAAAAACTCATATTCAATGTGTGAAAGTACTTAAAATATTTAAAAAAGACATATTTGGTACTTAACATTTTTTTTTTTAAATTATGAAATATAAGAAAAATCATTAATAGAAAACAAACTTTAAACTTTATATATATATATATATATATATATATATATATATATATATATATATATATATATATATATATATATATTTCTAAGCATTTAGTCATTTTTATTTTCGCAACAATGAATAAACTAACTAATCTTTATTTTTACTATAAGTAACATTAATGAAACATTACCTATTCAAATATCAACTCAGAGTATCTTTTAGTTATTTCATAAATGTAAAATATTATAATTATAAAATAATTGTTGAACATGAATTTAGCAGAGGAATTGGTAATTGAGGGATAAATAAAACACAATAAATTTTAAACTATTTTAATGTGGGCTATAGTGTTGGCCTACTTTGTAGGGCTTCTATAGGGTCATAAAACAAGATTAGCATAATATAAGAACAGAGTGGGAACAAATTTAAACACAGTAGGAATAAATAAAAGGTAGGAGTATCAAAATAAAAGTAATATAAAGAAAATGAGATGCTTATATATGACACTACTAAATCAAATACATAAATGAAAGATATATATATATATATATATCAAAATAAAATTAATATCACAAACAACTTTACATGAAATGGTCAGAGATACGAGGAAGGGGGGCAGAATTGTTATGAATGAAAACAAAAAATTGAATGTTGTATAAAATCACAAGGATGTAAAAAAGAGGTACAGGGGATAAAGAATACAAAAGGAAATAATATATTGTCAAATGATATAACTTAAATGAAATCAACTTTAGCAGCATTAATCAATGTTAAAAATTATCTCTTTGGATTGACTACATTATGAGTTAACCTTCTTAAGTAAAAAACACATGATAAAATATAACACAAGAAAACATATTCACTATAACCAACATGCCAATGAAAGTTGAAAGAATATCTAGAAGAACCTGCAGTAGGTGAAAGAAATCAAATATCTTTAACAGAAACTATTTTGTTTTTCATTAACAATAATTTTTGATATACACTGACAGGTAAAAAATTCCACCCACTTGATTTTTTCATGTTTTCATCTAAAAATATTTCACCCAATTGTAAAAAAAGTTGTATTTGTAATTAATACAGGGTATTTGTAGATAATGGAGTTCGGTCTAGACCGCTGACTTAGTAACATTGTCTCTGTGCTATATAGTTTTACGCTTAGAAATTCTACACCTACGTCGACGATTTTTTGCTCAGTGAAAGATTAAGTGTTACTGAAGTGGTTAGTGAAATTTGGTGACAATAGTAATAGAGATAGTTGTACAATTATAGTAGCAATATCTGACAAATATCAGGACAGGCATCGCTTATCTTCATTGCAGGCTGGATCTGGCAGCTCCCCACCATATCGCCCATATCGTGGAGTTCAAGCTCGAGGTATTTATCTATTATCAGTTTACAGCTGTGTGATAAATAAATAAATTGACGATCATTTAATTTGATTGTTTTACCTATTTATTTTTATTTATTTATTTATTTATTTATCAACCCTGCCGTGCCTAGTAGGCAATACGGGTGTCTGCAATAGTAAGATGTTAGGCAGGTCAGCTCAACATCTCACTGCTGCAAATGAATCTCGTTCTTCTGCTCTTTCTTCATTTTTTCCTCTTTCTTCATGGGTGCTTTCCTCATCCGTTTCACGCCATTTCATTTGTTACTATCTTAAAAACAGGGTGGCCCTATCTTTGAACGGTCTCAGTCGGGTTGGGGGCGCTTTCTGGGGCCTCAGATACCCAGCAACCTTAAAAATTTATAAGGGGGTGATTCTGGGTATCCTGAGGTATGCGTCTCCCGCCTGGAACCAGAACCTCTCGCACCGACAGAAGAGTAAGTTGGCGACAATACAGCGAACGGCATTGCTGCGGGTCACCAGGTCGTATCGAAGCGTATCCCATGAGGCGGTGCAGGTATTAGCAGGAGGGGTACCTCTCGACCTTCTCCTGCGAGAAGATATGATGAGGCACATGTTTAAGAAAAACGGCTCAGCAGGTCTACCGGAACATCTTAAGGTGAGAATTGACGAGAATCCTTGCAAATGGAAAAACATTATACGGGACGACACATTGGAGGAATGGAACCGGCGGTGGGTGATAACCCCCAAAGGATCTACCTTGAGGAAGTACTTCCCCACCGTCCGGTCACGTTTAGAAGCAAGGTGGATCGTCCCAGACTATTGGATCTCGCAATTTCTCACAGGCCATGGGGGCTTTCGAGCAAAGCTTCATTGCCATGGGATGGACATCGACCCCCTATGCCCTAGCTGCGGTGTTCCGGAGACTGCTGAGCACATCATAGTGGACTGCACCGCCTTTGAAGAACTAAGGGCTAAGTTACTGAGGGAAACCGGTCTCTACATTCTCACAGAGAACGATTTTCCTCAGTTAGTCACTGCGGAAAACTACCCGTACTACAAAGATTTTGTGTACGGGTGGAAAGTCGCGGTGGGGCCAGCCCATTTTAATTTAAGAAGAGGAGGAAGAGGTACTATACCATTGATTGTTTTACCTAAAAATGGCTGCAGAAATTACTTTAAAGGACGTAATGACCCTTCTGAGGGATACAAACGATCAAGTTAAAAAGGGAAACGAGGAGATGAGAACCTTAAAAGAATCGGTGGAATGCTTTCAAATTGAGTTGAACGAACTAAAATCAAAACTAGAAAATTTAGAACGGTCACACAACCTATTAAAAACTGCATTTAAAAACGAAATTTCAAAAAATAACCAAAATATTGATTAAAAAAAATATAATAATAGAGAAAAAAACCTAATATTATATAATTTTAAAAACATCACAAATGAAACGCATAAAACGCTGGAAGAGACTGTAGTAAATGCTATAAATAACTGTTTGAAAATTAATCTCAGCCTTTCAGAGATAGACTTGATCACCAGATTGGGATCACCATTAAAACAGAATAGGCTGGTGTTGATAAAATTTATAGCAATGAGAAGAAAAATACAGATTCTGAATGCAAGCTGGCAACTTAAATCAAATATGAAGTTCTCTTGCGATTATATTCCTCAAGAGAGAGTAACCAGGAAAGAATTATGGCCATATATTAAAATAGCTCGTGAAAATGGAAGAATTGCAAAATATAGAGGAGATAGAGCATTTATTGATGGTGTCATTTATACTTTAGAAGACTTAAAATCTGAAGATCCGAGCAGTAATATAGAGTCAGGAATTGCATCAAAAGACACAGCTGTGGATGAATTAATGAATAGTGATACAACAGAAAGAACTAAAAGACAGAGAAGTGAGGAATCCACTCCCGAAAATAAGGCCGAGTCACCTCGGAAAAATGAGATAGAAGATTTGTATAATAAAAAACAAGCCAATAAGAAAATAAATAGTTCTTTGAAATTAAGAAGCAGCAGCCTGGAGAGATATTTCAAACAGGGCACAAATGAGGGTGACAAAATATTAGGAACCTCTGGTTCTGTAATGAATTCTTAGCAGTTTATAGGCAACCAGGTTAATAAAATAGGTTATGACAATGGAAATTTCGACAGGATAATAAATAAAAAGGAAATTAAAAAATTATCACAGATGAAAAAATGGGATATAATCACCTATAATTGTAGAACACTAATGGCAGATTCTCAATTAACCGAGTTGAAAAACGAATTGGAAGTTATGAAATGGTCTCTTATTGGTCTGTCAGAAATGAGGAGATATGGTACAGGCAGTTTGGAGTACCAGGATGGTACAACACTGCATTATAATGGTACAGAAAAAGGTCAAGGTGGAACTGGCTTTCTTATAAATAGAAATAACGAAATGGAGATACGGTCATTCAAAACCTACACTCATCGTATTTCTAGGCTATTAATAGAGCTAAATAAAGACCAGAAGATGACACTTAAAATAATACAAGTTTATGCTCCCACTACAGATGCAGAAGAAAGTGAGATTGAAAATTTTTATTTGGATCTACAAATAGCAATTGATGAGGACAGATATAATCAATTAATATTAATCGGAGACTTTAATTCAAAAATAGGTAGTAAAGGTAACTTAAAATATATGGGTAAATTTAGAATAGGTGAATTGAATAATAGAGGAAAAAGACTAATTGAGTTTGTGGAAGCTAATGGTCTTTACATCATGAATAGCTTTTTTGAAAAATCCTAATAACAAATGGACATGGCAGAGCCCAGATAGAAAGACAAAAAATGAAATAGACTTCATAATCGTTAAAAATAAGCAATTAGTGATCAATGTGGAAGTTTTAAACCACCCTGACATTGGCAGTGATCACAGACCAGTTGGGGCAATGTTGAATAAAAAGTTCACCATTGTAAAACATAAAAAAGAAAATAGGAGATACAGTAAAGTTAAATCAGAAAACCTAATAAAATGGAATTTTGAAGATAAGTTGAAATCAGTTTTGCCTAAGTTAGACCAAGAGATGACAACTTCAACCCAAATTACAGAAATAACAAACTCATTAAAAAAGGTACTTGAACAGTTTAAGGAAGAGAATCCCAAGATAGACGGTAACTGTCGAAATCTCCCAAGAAAGATTAAAAATCTTCTAAACAAAGGAAGAATTTTTTAAAAAAAGGAGCAAGATGTAAGACAACTTAACAAATTAATCAGAAAAAT